TTTCTTACAGTCTTGAGAAGCTTGCCATCTACAGGGACAGGGAGTTAGTTGGGGTAAGGGAGGCCAAAATCCAGGGGGGTTCCAGAGTGGGGTTTTTGCCTTTCCGTGCTCACCGTCTTTCCTTGGGGATTCTGATGGCTGGAAACAAGGAGGGGAAGGGGCAGGAAGGTCTGTTTGGGTGCACCCCGAAAGCAGGAGCCCCCAGATGGGTGATGGGTTCCAGGGAGCAGGCAGAGCAGGGCAGTGACATGTGGAGCACAGGAGGAGAGCTGGGGGCTGGCCAGGAGCCAGACTGGGGAATGCAGGGATCAGGGATGCCAAGGCAGGGCCAGGGGCTCAGGGAAGGTGGGAATGGGCTGGAACAGAGCACGATGCATGGAAGGCTTCCAAAGCAGCTTTGTAACAGATTGGGCAGGGAGCGGAGGTGGGAAGGTGGCTCTCAGCTCCGGTGTGTGTAAAATGAGGATGGTAATAGCTCCTGCTCCGAGGGCTGCTGCAGCCTCAGCCAGTGCCCAAATGCTCTGCCAGGGTGGGCTCTGCCAGCCAGACAGCCCCTGTGCTCCAGCTCCAGGAGAACCTCGGGGAGAAACCCTCTGCAGGCTGCAGGATGTGCAAGTGCAAATTGCAATTACTGCTCGTTACTGAGCTGGGGCTGCTCACCATTCTTCCTGAGAAACTTCTAGTGCACACCCACACAGCAGAGTAGCTCATGGGTGCTGTCTCAGTCAGAGGTAACAGCCAATTTCTGGGTGACCTTACACCATCAGAGAGGTGGCTTTGCAAAGGAAGATGCTGCTGAACTGTGAGCAATAACTTCTTTGGTTATTTTCTGGAGAGATGAGCGTGGTGCGTGCACAGGTACTGCCTCCCAGCTGGACGCCACATGGCACAGGAGAATCTGTCCTTTGCTAACAGATAAGGATGGGGAGATATGCTTGGAGGGGGGTCCCAGTAGCAGGTGTTGCAAGTGGAGCTCTGTCAGAGGGAATTACCTGGAGAAAAACATCTTCCTCAGCACTGCTTTGCTGTGCCCTGCTCCTTTTTGAGCCTTCCATCTGCCCCCAGCCCCACGGAGTGCCTGTGATCCAGACCCCTCTGGAATCCATATCCCTGTCAGAGAGCCCGAGGGCAAACCTTGTTTTCACTTGGCTTCTTGAATCCTCTACATCAACCTGGCACCAGCAGCAGCTTCTCTTTGGGGACAGCAGCAGCACAGAGCTCACAGCCATTAGGATTTAGCTCTCCTTTCCCTTCAGTGGCTGCCAGGTGGGTTTTAATGAGTTCTCATGCACCTCCCGAGTTCCCTGTGGAAGGAGGGGAGGCTGCTGGGAGCAGCATCCCTGCAGGAAATGGATGTCCAGGTGTTTGTGGAAGCCCTGCTGGCAAAGCACCTGCCCGTGCTGGCACTGGGCTGCTCTGGGAGCTGTGGGTGGCTCCCAGCTCGGGAGGGAGCAGCATCCAGCAGGGCCTCTGCTTCCACATGGCTGCTTCCATGTGTCAGCCGTGTCCCAGCAGCTCCCCAGCTGACACTCAGCCCGGGAAAATTCCTCCTCTGAGCCAGCACAGGAAACATGGGCACCAACCATGCACAAACAGGGGCTTATCCTCAACTGGAAAGAGTCACACACTGTAAAATCCCCCACTGGGAATGGATTCTGCCCTGACCTTTGTGAAACTCCCTCGGTCCCTGATAACCCCTTGAAATGGCAATATTTGCTTGCCTGGGAGAGCTGGAGGGGCTTTTCCAGGTGTGCCTGCTGAAGTGTGCTGTGCAGTTGTGACATTTCCCTTGCTGTGGGGATTTCTGTGCTCAGAGTGAACGGAGCTGATGCTGTCACTGCTTCACGTGGCTCAGCCCCTTTCGGCAGAGCAGCTGGACCCAGCCTGTCATTCCCTCTTACCTTCCACTGCTAAACCCCAAGGAGGGGCAGACACTGGGGCTTTTTCCTTCATCCTTGAAGAAATCACGTTACAAATGATGTGCTGTAAGTGAAAAGTCAGGTCTGCCACTGAGCAGGACTCAGCAGCCTTTGGTTTGCTGTGCAGGATTCACTCTCTGACTGAGGAAGGAGGGAGCTGAAAGGGAGGACTCCAAAATTTGCAATTTTTCCCACCTAAGTGCTATCAGCAGCCCAACACGAAAGCCAGTACTTGTTTTCAGACTCAGCAATAACAGCTTCATTCCTGGAACATCATTCATGTTGAGTTAACATCGATTTCTTCTTCCTTCCTTCCTTCCCTTCTATAATGCTGTGGTTAATTTGTTTTTTAAATGTTGTACGGTAATTACTTTATTCAAATGAATCATCTGACAAACTGGTTCTTCATCAAACTTGTCACTTACTCTGCTATTTTTCTTTTAACCTGGACCTTACAATAAATTCTGAGCTTGGCTGTCAGTCTTCAGCAGAAGAAGGAGAAGAGACTATTTATGGAATTGCTGGATTTCATTAGGGATGTATGGATGAAAATGCTACAGCACAGCTTGTTTGTGATGCAGATTTACCCAGTAATTCGACTCCTTTTTTAGCAGCTGAATGGGCCTGAACAGAAGAATCAAGCTCAAATAGGTACAGCCCGAGCCTTTGCAATGCAATATCCCCCAGCTCAGTCAGCTCAGTTCCTCAGGGGGGGATTGTTGCCTCCATAAACTCCCTCCTGGGCTCTCTCCGTGCCTGGGTGTGGGACTGGATGAGCTTTAGGCCCCCTCCAACCCAAACCATTCCATGATTCCATGTTTTCTCCAGGGTATCTCACAAATAAAGCCTGTAATCCTGAGAGTGCTCTCCTGCTCTGCTCATGTGTGCCAAAGGAACCTGGAAGTGTGTGCAGAGTTTTCTTTGCTCAGAAAACACATCCACACAAAACTTCCCCTCTTTCCCTCCCTGCCATCCTGCTGCCCACTGAGCTTGCTCTCTTCTCCAAAAGGAAAAGTCCTGTGGAATTCTGCTAATGAAGTATAAATAGTTCCTGGTTATACATCATTAATTCAAATTAATCTTCATTTAATAGGCAGTTGATTAGAGGGATGGAAATGGTTCTGGCCCTAGAATGAGGAAGTGCTTGTGTACATCCAGGTATGAAGGTTGCCTCAAGGGTGGTTGGATGAAGTAGTTTTAATTAATTAATAAAAAAAGAAGCAGAAAGTGATGGAATGGACAGTAATAATTTCTGAGGTGGAGGGGATTTTTGCCAAGATCAAATGGCAAAATACAGATCCTATTGGAAGTGGGGAGGGATTGTGGACACCCTTATTTCCAGGTTATCTCAGGCTGTCCCTTGTACCCATGACATCCACCCTCCCTGATGGAGCAATGCTCTGCTGCTTCCAGCAGGGATTCCAGGAAAACTCAGCAGTGGAACCTTTCTGGCCCAAGCCCAGGCTGGCATTGCAGCTGACTGAAAAGAATTGTCTTCCTTGGGTGAAATCAGGGAAAGATAATTGAGTTTAACCACTAAACTTGCTGGGATCATAGTTGGGATGAGGAATTACAGGACTGAAAGGACAGGCTTTAGATTCTTTTCCCTTTGGGTGATCTGGAGTTTGCAGCTCTGGAATATCCTGCTGACTTTTAGCATTCCACTCGGTGGTTTGGTTCCAAATCCTGCACTTGGGCTGTTTTTATGGCTGTTTTTGTGTATCACACTCTTTTGTAATCCCTTGGATGTTTTCTGAGGAAGAGGGAAGAAATCTTTAAGGTTCTGATACCTGCACAATGCACATGAGAAATCCATGGAGAGTACAAGAAAATTGCTGAGGTTGGCAGATTGTTTAAGCCATGTCCAGGCATTGCTCTGTGTGGATCCAGGAGATAAAACAATGCTGTTCATTCCAGGGATAATATTACCAGAGTGGGGTTGGTAGCCTCCAGGGTCTGCATTGCTGGATTAAAATTCAAACCAGGTTTTGATTCCAGTGTGTTCCCATTTCTGATGGTCAGCTAATGACTGCACTGTTCCTACATGGGTGACATCAAAACTGCAGGAGGTTGCAGCTCATGAGCTGAATACATTCAGATGGCCAGAAAATACAGAGAGAGGGGCCTCAAATTTAACATGGGGAAATGGGGAAATATGTAAGTGAGAAATCCAAAGTATTCTCTAGTGACTTGCACTAAATGAGTAAATTATACTTGCAAAACCAAGCAGTGGAGCTGGAGATTGCTGTTTAGAGGAGCTATTTTTTAAAAGCAGCTGTGTGTGCAGTGCATTCCCCAAATCCCACTGCCCCTGGACAGTGGGAATGTGCTGCTGGCATAATAAGGTCTTTAGAGGCTGGAGGGAGAGGCCATCCCCGTCTGCTGGGACAGGCTGTGGCCTTGAGACACCTTCCCCATCCCAGGACACACTCCAGGGAAGAGCATTACACTTCCTAAATTTGTATTTACAGTCCTCTTTGGGAAAGCTTGCTGGTGCACACAGGTTCAGCTCCTTTTCCTTGGAAAAAGCAAAAATATTCCCCAGTTGCTGAGCAAACAGCAACGACCAACAAGGCTGCCTGGGGTCTGGGAGGAAGCAGAGGGAACACAGAGCTCGGGGGGGACTCTCAGTCCGTTTGCTCTCGGTCTCCTCAGTGGATCCTGGACTGCCAGGGTGTGCAGAAACACCTCAGCAAACATCCACACGTCCAAGTTCCATCTCCAAACGCAGATTACACTGCAGCAGGGAGAGCAAGGCCCATGCCCATCCCTCCTTTCATTAGAAAGGAGCTGCACAGAAGTTTCCACAAGCATTTAGCATGTCCTCTAAAAAGGCTGGACAATAAACACATGTCACCTTCCCCAGATGTTTGTGGAGCAACATTCATAATTCTGAGTTAACCCCAGTGGCACAGCAGATAAAAACTAACCATCCACCCTGCTCTTGCTGTAGTGCTTTGAGCAGCCATCAGGTTTTCCTAGATGAACACTCAGAAATTATGGCTCATAATTTATTTTTCCCTCTTTCTGTGTGGCAATTAAGAGGTGCATAATCCTTCCCATTTATCTCTGTTCCAACAGGAGGGATATTCGAAACTGTGGAAAATGAACCTGTTAATATTGAAGAATTGGCGTTCAAGTTTGCTGTCACCAACATTAACAGGAACAGAACACTGATGCCTAATACCACATTAACCTATGACATCCAGAGAATTAACCTTTTCGATAGTTTTGAAGCCTCAAGGAGAGGTAAATATCTCAATTACTGTGTCAGTTACATCCCTGGCTTGTACTTTATACCTTTCCCCAGCCTGATCTCCTTTTCTGCTCTGCTTGTATCATGTGTACCACAAAGTTAATCTTTCAGAGGTGCTTGAACTAAGAATCAAGCTGGGCTTGGACCTGTCATGTGTTTTCTGAATAAACCCTACATCCTGTCTGCATGCTAAGAGCCCCAGATGGCAGATGGCAAGTCCAAGCCATTTTTCTTTCCAAAACATAGATTTGCCACCTGGAATTCTGCAGAAAAATGATCACAGACTCACAGGAAGCACAGTGGGATGTCACAACCCATAATTAGCACAGATACCCATTATTGGTAAATTATTTCTACTCCTTTTAAAGACCAGAAGCCACTAGCCCCCCCTGCCCTGAAATATTAATGCACAGTGCCCTGGAGACAAATAAGTTTCTCTGTTATAAACAACTGTAAGAATTGGGGTAGTCAAGTGTGGAAATTTTTTTTTGCCTCTTCTTTTTTTTTTATTTTCCTGAGAAGGAAAGTTATGGCCCAATTTACTCCCATCCAATTGACTTGCAGGCCAAAACAGAGAGGGGTAATAAGTCACAGCTTTCCTTTAGCTCCATGTGTTCTTTGGCCTCTAGGAACAAGCTCAAAGTTTGATAAAATGTTGTAAAGAGCAGCCCAGTTCCTGGAACTGGAATTGCTGGAAAATAAAAATGCCTCTCTTCAGAAGCCAGGCTGGTGAGCTGTCACCTTTCAAATATCTGCACTACCAAATTTTCCTTGTGCCACTTCAGTTTCTTAGTGAGAGTGGAGAAAAGGAAAATTATTTCAAAGAACTTTAAAAAAAGAGCTTTAAATAGCATTTTTTGCATTCTTTTTCAGTTATCAGGTACATCCTGGAGCTCTGTGCTGTAGAATGTCAAGCGTGGTGGATTTATAATCCGTGTAATCCAGGCTGATACAGTATTTCAGATTCCCTGTAGAGTGAGAATCTCTGCTGTGACTGTTGTGAAAGTGCCCCCTCCATTTAAATGCAGGAAGTTGTTAATGCACCTGCAAGAAACTCACACAGACAGCAGTAATTTCTTCTCAGCATGAATTATTGAAGTTATTTCTGGAATTTGCACATTAAACCTGTGATGCTTTAGAAAGGCTTCTGAATTAAACCTGGAAAGCCTGTGCACTTCATGCTGTCTGTGAAACACTCATTTGTGGAATGGAAACAGAAAAGAATTGATTTTCTGTCATATTCTATTACAGTCAGAGAGCTAAATTCGAATTTAAAGAATCTCAGCTCATTGTGGAAGTTGGTGTATGTAACATTTCCCTCAATCAGAGCAATTTCTAAACTCCCCACCCTCACAAGGAGAGCAGCCTGCAGCTCAGTGCAGGGCTTTGTCTCAGTCAGGAGCCGTGTTAAAAACATTGGCAGTAAATTTTACCAGTGGACAGAAATAACTGATATTACTTCATCTCCTGTCTGTCAGCCTGCAAACACATGGGAGAGAAAGAAAAATGCAGAGACAGCTCCAGGCAGGGTTCTTGAGGCTGAGATATGGGCACAGGAGAAGGAAAGCTTTGTTGATGTATTTGGCTGGTTTGGAGGGGTATAAAATGTCAGTGTGTGGGTTCTTTATTTCCCTGTGCTGTTACCTGGGGCTTTGGGCACTCCTGCCTGCTCTGTAAACACAGATGATGGAGGGCAGTGAATCGTGCTGCCCTTTGCTGCTCGTGTCCCTGCAGCTGCCTGGAATGAGGGCAGCTCACCCGGGCAGAAAGGTGCCAGTCCCAGGGGGATCCCTGGAGAGCCTGCTGTGCCTCCAGGGTTGTATTACCTGGTGCTCTGCTGTGGAACTTCATTGCTGAGACATTCCTGTGCAGCCAGAGAGCCCCTGGATCCTCTGGGATAGAGCCATTCTGAGAAAGGCAGCTCAGGAATCCGTGTCATCTGCAAGGCAACGAGCAGAGAAGGGTTTATGTGCAGCAAGCAAGGGCAAGGGTGTAAAGCTGATCAGTAAAGCCATTTTCAGAACCACAACCAAACCAGGGTCACTGAGGCTGGGAAAGCCCTCCCAGCCCATGGAGCCCCAGCTGTGCCCAATCCCCACTTTGTCCCCAGCCCAGGGCACTGAGTGCCACATCCAGCCCTTCCTTGGACACTTCCAGTGCTGGGCACTGCAAGCCTCCCTGGGCAGCCCATTCCACTGTTTAACAACCTCTCCCATGGGGAAATTCTCATGCCATGCGGCCCAAACCTCCCCTGGCCCAGCCTGAGGTCGTTCCCTCTCCTCCTGTCCCTGTTCCCTGGGAGCACAGCCCGACACCCCCGGCTGTCCCCTCTTGTCAGGAGTTGTGCAGAGGCACAGGGTCCCATCTGAGCCTCCTTTCTTCCAGCTGAGCCCTTTCCCAGCTCCCTCAGCCTCTCCCTTTACCCTCTAAACCTCCCCTGAACACCTCAGGAGCCACTGGCCCATCTCTGGGTGGGTCTGGGAGCAAGGCAATGCTCTGTTCTCATTTGAAGTGCTGGGGCTGGATGGAGGATGCCAGCCCTCGGTGAGCATCCCCCAGGCCCTCGCTGTTCCCGCTAAGAGCCCCCTGTCCCCTGTGCCTAGCCTGTGACCAGCTGGCCCTGGGCGTGGCGGCGCTGTTCGGGCCGGCGCACAGCTCGTCGGTCAGCGCCGTGCAGTCCATCTGCAACGCCCTGGAGGTGCCGCACATCCAGACCCGCTGGAAGCACCCCAGCGTGGACAACAGGGACGCCTTCTACATCAACCTGTACCCCGACTACGCCGCCATCAGCAGGGCCGTCCTGGACCTCGTGCTCTACTACAACTGGAAAATCGTCACCGTGGTGTACGAGGACAGCACGGGTGAGTGCTGCTGCCTGCGGGGCTGCTCCTGCCAGACCTGGGGCAGCTCGCTCTGCCATGCCCTCAGCAGCTTTCCTGGGTCACGGGGGAAAAACCCTGTCCTGCTGCTGCCGTGGCTTTTGGAAAGCTGCTCACTTCACCAGACTGCGGGAAGGAGCCTCTGGGGTTTGAATAGTCAGCCCCGTTTTGCTTCCTGGTTGTGGAACCCATAGCACAGCTTCAAACTGATCCCAGAATTCCAAAATCTGGAGATCACCCAGCCCAACCCCCCTGCCAAGGCAAGGTCACCTGGAGCAGGTGACACAGAACTCCCCACGTGGGTTTGGGATGTCCCCAGAGATGGAGACTCCAGGCCCTCCCTGGGCAGCTGTTCCAGGGCTCTGCCCCCTCCATGGACAGAAGTTCTTCCTCAGGCTGAGGTGGAACTCGTTGTGTTTCAGTTCATGGCCACATCCTCATCCTGGCACTGGCACCACTGAGCAGAGTGTGGCTCCATCCTGTGACAGCCCTGGGGGTATTTGTGTGCATTGATGGGNTGTGTGCATTGATGGGGTATTATTTGTGTGCATTGATGGGGTATCTGTGTGCATTGATGGGGTATTTGTTTGGATTGATGGATCCCCTCTCAGCCTTCCCTTCCCCACACTGACCAGGCCCAGCTCCCACAGCTTCTCCTCACAAAAGAGATGCTCCAGACCCTTCATCCTCTCTGTGGACCCTACTGGACATTCTCCATTAGCTCCTAGATAAAATCTTCTAGACAGAATAGAAACAAGGAGAGGTCTTTTCCAGCCCACCCCATAGCCAAATTGGCATTCCAAAACACCAAGTGCTGTGTACCTGCTCAGCTACAAAAATGTCTGATATGAAAGAGATTTCATTTGCAGAGATATTTACGAAGTAAATTAATCATCAATCATCTTATTAACTCAGAGTCAGGAAAGTAAACATGTCAACTTTGATCAGTATAAATAGTCCTTGGATTTGGGGTTAGAGTGACGCCAGTTAACTCAAGCTCTTATTTCTCATCCCTAATGTTTGCCATCGTTACACCACAAGAAATAAAACCACCTTGGCCAGGTTGGACAGGGCTCAGAGCACCCTGGTCTCACGGGAGGTGTCCCTGCCCAGGGCAGGGGGTGGCACTGGATGGGCTCAGGGAGTCAGGCTTTTGCCATGTCCTCCAGAGAAATAGCTGCAGTTCTTGGCACTGCTGCTTTGGCTTCTCCAGGACACCACACCTGGGCTCCATCTCACTCCGTGTGGCAGCAGGAAACGTTGGGAGTGCAAGGTCCCAGTCTGATGGGACCAAAGGAGATATTTTAAGGCACACAGTAATTTCTTCCCCCGAAAAGGAGAGGGAAGTGGGTCAGCAAATCCTTTAGGTTTTTTGCTTTTCACCACACTTGCACTCAAGTACTTTTTGTTGCTGGGAAGACAAACACCGGTTCTCAGTGAGAGGTGAGGATGAGATGAAGGCTTCCCAGACTCCTCCTCCCAAATCTCATTTTCCCTCCTGGAACTGCCATCCCAGGCACTGCAGCCAGAGGTGAGCCTTGGGCACACCTGGGCTGCACCTTCCCAGCCAGGTGACCCCGACCCCTTAGTCAGTGAGCGCTGGGAGCCCATTCCCATCAAAATCAGCTCCCGTGGTTTCCTGTTCCTCAGCTGGCTCCTGGCCAGGCCCAGCTCCCGGTGCCTGCAGCATTTCCAGCTGAATGCTCATCATGTTTCATTTTCTCTATTGATTGTTGGTACTAGAAAATCAGCAAGGAGCAGGCCTGGCCCTGTAGGTGGAGGGAGAGCAGCTTTTCCCCAAGCACAATGCCAACACTCGAGTGAAGCCATCAGCCCTCGAAGCTCAGAGGGAACAGGGAGCTTTGTCTTGCCTTAGATGCGCCACTCAACCAGGGGCACTCACACCCACACAAATATTATCCCCACTCCCAGCAGGAGAGGCAGGAGCTCCTTCATTTTAATAATTTGTTTGATTTTTGTTCAAGAAGTGCTCCTTGCCTGTGTTCTCTCTCTCTCTCTATGCATATTTTTAAGGCAGCCTTTTACTTCCCCTCAGCAGGAGATCAGGAATTTTTTGTGGGTGAATTGCATTCGTGGATAAAGCGAGGCTGTAATCACACACCTCAAAGAGCTCTTAACTATCTTCCCTCGGTTTTGGAGGCAGTGCAAATTACACAGGAGTGCTGAATTAGCCAGTGGAACTGCAGTGTGTTTAAACACTTGGACAAGGCTCTGGCTGAGCTCCACTGCCTTCAGCTGAGGCGTGTAAAGCTGTGCCAGCTGAACACCGAGTCTGAGAAATCACCCGTGTTTGAGGATGTAGAGCTGCATCCCAAAAGATTCTGTAAGAACTCACAGCTGCTGAGTGACACCAGGCAGGAAAGTTAAGAGGTTTCCTCAATTTTATCTTCTTGCTGTATGGTATTGGAATTTTAATGAGCTGCACAGGGAGAAGCCTTATTTGCTTTTCATGTCTCAATTTAAACATACTACAATATGTTTATATTGTATTACATCAATGCAAACATATCCTGTAGTCAACCAGTTAAAAACACCTTCCAAAATATTTAGAAGCCAAGTATAAACATGGGAATGAAAAGCTTCAATAATATTAGCTATGAAGCTGGCAAATATGGAACTAGCAATTATCCCCAGGGAGCGTGGAGTGTGAGAGACCCTGTGTAAGTGACAATAAATCCTCGTGGCACAGGATGGTGATTGTGTCATTGCCTGCCATTTCTCAGGTCTCATTCGCCTGCAGGAGCTCATCAAAGCCCCTTCCAGGTACAACATCAAAATCAAAATCCGCCAGCTGCCCTCTGGGAACAAGGATGCCAGGCCTCTGCTGAAGGAAATGAAGAAGGGCAAGGAGTTCTACGTGATATTCGACTGCTCGCACGAGACGGCGGCAGAAATCCTCAAGCAGGTACCGGGGACGGGGAGCCAGAGCTCCACGAGAGCCTTGCTCCCCAAAATCTGCCAGCCTCTCTGATCCCACATCCACCAAAACCAAAGGCGCTCCCCAGCCTGGCCCAGGGGAGTGAGTGCAGGGACAGAAGTCACAAAGGTGCAGCAGCCCAGGGCTGCACTGACACCCCAGAGAGCCCCACGAGTATGCACAGGAGCAAACAGGCTTTTCTTTCTGACATGCCAGGTCCTGCCTGGCTAGGGACATCGCTCCGTGTGTTTCAGCTTGTCCTGCTTTAATCAACAGTTTTTATTTTTTTCCCATCAAAAATAGAGGCAGAATCAGAAGAAAAATCTATTCTTTAAACCGATGGGAGAGGTTGTTGTGCGTGGGCTGGCCCAGCCTGAGTGTGAGATTTGGGCAGCCACAGCAGGCAAGGACAAGCACAGCCCGACGTTCCCAGGGCACACTGGGAGTGGTGGGAATTGCAATTTACTGGTGCCACTTGCTGTACATTCCTTGACAAGCAAAGTCTAAAGCACAGTTTGTTGATGTGCAGGAAACAGCTCCATACATTTTGAGGGCAGTTGCCTCCTTGCTGCACCCCTAGGGATGAGGGACAAGTTGTTATTTCTCCTGCCAGGCAGTCTGATGGGATACCCTGATCCCAGAAGAGCACCAGAGAGCTTCCACTGACTAAATGCCCATAAAGGTCCCTTTCTGTTCCCATCCCAGAATGTTTTACTGAAATACTGAAGTCCTGCAGAGCAGCTTTTTGTGCCCAAGTTGGCAAGGCAAGTTACTGCATTCGTGTGGGGAGCCTGGAATGTTCCTCTCCAGGCTGGAGGAACTTGGGGCTTGCAGAATCCTAGATCAGCTGCAGCACACAATTCCTGTGAGCCTGGAGGTGAGATTTCCTGCTCCCAGCAATGCTGTCCTGCAGTAAATGTTAGGATTTCCTCAGTGTGAATGATTTGAGGTACAGGGGTGGGGAGGGCACTGTAGCAGAACTGTTTGGGCAGGGGGAGTGGGCTGTGCCCCTACTCTGCTCCCTGCAGGGCTGCCCAAAAACATCCCCACTTTTGGCTGCTCCAAAAGGAGATTTGTGGGGGAAGAGTTGACAACACAGATTTTGAAGGACCAGCAAGATGAAGGTGCAGGTGTCTGGCACCCTGCAGCAGGCACAGAGCTTCCAATATGCCAGGCTAAGTAAGGAAAAAACCCCAAAAAGCAAAACCTGGGTGTCAAAAGAAGAGGAGGGAGTGCTGAAAGATGCACTAAAGCAGGGCAAAGCAGCAGAAAAGTTTGTGTGGGTTATGGATCAGCCAGACAAGTGACAGGCTGCAGATACAGATAATGCTCTCCAGTGCCTGAAGAACTGGGGGAAGGAGGGAGAATGACAGTGTGGGAGAAAACAGGAAAATTGAGAGAGGTACACCTGTGGGTCAGCGCTGTGGGAGAAGGAACAACATAAATATAGGCTAGAAAGAAAGGGGAAATGGCTTTTCCGTGAGCTAGTTCTGTGGCTGGGTGAGGTGCTGGCAGCAATAACTCAGGGGCTGAGTTCCTCCCTGCCAGAGGCAGCGGTGAAACGTGGACGTGTGGAGGGCTCTCAATTCCTGTGGGACTCCTGTGACTGCAGGTTACTGGAAGAGCTCATCTCCCCATCCCTGCACTCACAAACCCCTCTGTCATTGTACCCGGGATGGAAGCAAGACATCAAACACTGGAGAAATCATTACAAGGAAACTCTGTGATGTCAGTAGAGAATATTTTTGACTTTGTAAACAATGCAGTAGCCGTCACAGGAAAAACAGGTGGTGTTGTTAAATTATATAATATTTCTAACAGGAACAGGACTCAGGGTCACCTAAAGCTGTGCCCAAAGCAGCTCCTTCTTGTCTGTTCACTGCATTTAGGTAATGCAGTAGGTGTTTAGTAGCCCATGGAGCAGGGAGGGGACACTGCTTGTTTTCCAGGGAGAAAGGTGCCCAAAAGCTCCTCTGGGAGCAGAAGGATCAGCCCAGAACTCTGCTGGAGCTGTGTGCACCAGGGACCTCTCCTCGCCTCCTCCAGCCTCTGCTTTACAAAACACCACAAAAGACAGATTTCTTCTCTAATTTCTGCTTATTTATGCCTTCCACTAAAACCCCATCAAGGCACGCTTGTTGTGTGCACAACAAGAACAGGTGAATCAATAACCTGATTCAGCCCAAATACAGAGCCTGCACTCAGCTGAACAAACTGTTGCCCTTCTCTCTGACACGCTCAGGGAGCCAGGATTCCCTCAGCCCCTGCCCAGCCCCACGAGGCTTGGCCCTCCTTTGCTGGTTATGGCATTTACCTGGAATATTTGGTGGACAGAAGGACAGAATGCTCTCTCTGCATTAGACAAGCACTCCCCGAGTAAATTAAATGTGACTCTTGCAAATTGCAATCTGTTTTATGCACAAAGCCTGCAATTTATCCTGCACATTTTTCAGTCTGGTATTGCCTTTTGTGTGAGGAACTCAGCTGAAGAGGTCGAGTTGTTGTGCTTAACCCTCACTTTGTGCCAACACACCAGGAACAGTAATCTGAACACAGATTTTACTGCTAGGCAAACTCACCTCTCAGAAAGTACATCCCTGCTAACCTTAAATTACCTACTCCTTTCTTCACAGCCCCAAAATACATTTGAGGAAGTGTACTGTATATTTAATCAGGTTTAAGGCTCTCACAGAGCATCCTGTAAAGACGATGTGACAGACAACGAAAAGAATCATTAATTCAGTTCCTCCAGAAGACAGAAAAACCAGGTGTCACCGTGGAGTGCATTCCTGGTACAGTAATAGACGTGAGAATAGAAAACCTCAGCTCCTGACTGTGCTCCTTCCAGGAGCCTGGCAGGTAGGCTGGAGCCCACTCCCTGCTAAGAAAAGGCAGGATTAGCTGTGTTCCCCCTTCCATGGGAGAAACACCAGTGGCACATCCCCCGGGTGCTCCTCTGTGGGTGAGAAGCAGGGATGGACTGGCCCTAGAAAACAGAGGGGTAATTAATTGGAAAATGAAATGCATTTAATGGTCATGAAATGAAATAACTGCTCAAGTGAGGGAAATGCAGAGTGAAAGCAAGCACAGGATTTGGTGCAGTTCCCATTAATGCACTTGCTCATCATTCCAGTTCCAGCCCGCCTCGAAGGCAGACTGACAATGGATCTAAATGAGGCAGGGAGTTTTTTACGAGAAGAACAAATGCAAGTTAGAGCTGGGATGTGATTCAAGCCAAGAGCAGGGCACCCAAAAGAGATTTTCAGACATAAGAGAGTATTTTTATCCAGTGTCTGTCAGCTCGCCATATATAATTTAACCACTGATGCTTTCTTGGATTCACTTCATGGTTCATGACCCCCAGCTGAAAGGGCACAGCTGCAAAGGACAAGGCCCAGGCTCCTGATCTGGAATGGATAATTAGAGATGGAAGTGTCTTTATCTCCCATTGTCCAACCGTATCTGAGTTTGGCTGAAGAACAAGTGTTATACAGGGAAGGCTGGGCAGGAGATGTACAAGGAGAATATCTGAGGCTGATTTTCCTAGTTTACATTCATCTGAGTTCCACTGTAAGTAAAAGCTATTATTATTTAAATAGGACACTTGTATCAGGTGCATAATTATTTACATAATTACATGCAAAGTTATTTAGATAGCAATGTGCAATGAAACCTGATCCAGTTTCCTGTGGGCAGGCACACAGACAGAGATGTTGCCTTCCCCTCTCTCTCCTGGGCTGCTTCTCTCTTTCAGGTCACCTGCTCTGTGGGAAGCTTTGCCAGGTGCTTCAGGGGTGTCCCAGCCTGAAATCCATCCTTACTCCAAGCAGGTTTTTATTGTCCTGCTCCTGGGAGCTGCTGGGAGCTGCTTTCCTGTGGCTGCTGTGCTGCTAACACTCAGCAGAAGAGCCCTGGAAACTCCTGCACTGGCAGGAGCATCCAGGGAATGAAGGCTTGGGAGTTATTGATGCTTTGGGATGTCCAGCACGGTTCTCAGCATCCCTCTTGCTTTTGTTTTGACTTGATTCCACCTGCTGTTTATCTGCATCAGAGCATTAAATCGTCCTTCGGTGTGAATTTTGCTTAGCAGCCATATTGCCCTTAAACATAAATTACTATTGCAAAATCTGTTTGATCCTCGAATAAAAAGCCCCTATTTGGTATCTAATGCACATGTCACAGGCATGTCAAAGTGCTAAATAGCTTTTAGCTAATTCTCATCCTCAATGACAGAGAGGGGAGCACAACCAGTAGAGGTTCTTCTCATCAAGGGCTTTGTTTCTGTTTGTCTTGGGGTTTGGAGCCCTTGCTTGTTTGTTTGGGCATTTTTTGTGCCTAGTTTTGGGGTGGTTTTGCTTTAAAGAACAAACCTGTAGCATGACTTCTGCAATGACTTCCCACTGGGCTCTTTCAGTGCAGTTCCAGCTCAGAGGAGATCTGCATCATAAAAATCCCATAAATTTGGCATCTCCTTCACAAAGCCACAGAAATCCAGTGGCTCCAGGGAGGGGGACTGAGTCCAGCCAGGTCAGCTGGGAAACACAGCACACAAAAAAAGCTCCCCTGGATGCAGCCCTGTATTGTTATCTGTGCATAAACAGGGCAGGAGCAGCAGCCTCCAGCTGACTCTACAGGTAATAAAAGAGCTCCAAGAAACAGAATAGAAGAGGATTAATAAAATCAGAAATAAAAAAGGCAATTTTGATGTGTAAATCCAGTGGAGCATTTCAATGAAATAGTTGCCTTCTGGCTTGATTTTTAGTGGCTGGAAATGGATCAGTTGTTTGCGATTAACACTGAGCTGGTTTTATTATCTGCTGCAGCTCAGAAAGTTCAGGGGTTTCTTTCTCCCTTTTTTTCTTTCTTTTTTTTTTTTTTTTTTTTAATGTGAGGAATTGACATAGACAATCACTCAACTGATGTTCAGCGGCTTCTGCCAGCAAAGGGAATTTTGGCCAGCCAAATCCCTCTGTTTCCCCTGCTTTTCAAACTATTCAGGCACTCCAAAACTGTCCTGAAAGGGTATTAAAACCAGATCCTTACAATGCTGTGATCAGGACTGAGCAGGAGTTAACCTTGGTCTGTGTTGCTGTCGTGACAATGAATTCCTCAGCACTTTCCCAGTTTATAATTCCTCCTCTTCCTCACAAGATCCCAGAGAGGAAAGAATTCTCCTGTCTGGCGAGAGCATGGGGACGTGGGGACAAGTGGAGGAAGGCTGCAGGGAGGCTGTTTCTTCCAAAGTTTCTTCCATCCCAGCTGTTTTGGCACTCTCCTGCTGACCCACATTCCCCAGTGGAACAAAAGGCACTTAGAGAAACTTCCTTCTTTCTGTTTTCCTCCTTCACTCCTGAGCCCTCAGCAGTGTCCTGTTCTCACCTGGCAGCAGAATACAAAAACCTGCCCCTAAGCACTTCTCTCTACCAACTGTGTTGTCTGCTAATAAATTCCTTTTTAGCGCTCTCAGGCTGCAGACTAAAGGATTTTTTAAATCAGCATCTCGTTATGTCTAGTAATTTTTCTTGTCATGGAAGTCTTGCAATCTTTAATCTCTTTGCTGAGCAGAGGTGATAAAAACATCATTTAAATACAACAGGATATTTTTGGCTCCTAAAGAAAAATGTGAGGTTTATTGCCATCAAGCTCTCATGACCTGTGGTGTGTTTAACCCTTGCTTTTCAAAGGCACTGCAGCACACTGGGAGCTCTCAGAGTAAAGTACCTTCATCTTTCCATCTCTTTCACAGATTCTCTCCATGGGAATGATGACAGAATACTACCACTACTTTTTTACAACACTGGTAAGGAACACTATAAACATCTGGGGGGGAATTTCCTGTTTCAGAAAAGACAGCTAAATTTTTCCGTTTTTCTAGGAGATCTTTGTTGCCTTTAGTCAAGGCAATCCCTGGAGAATGGGTGCTAACACTCCTTAGGAACATCAGGACCCACCATTTTGTAAGAAAGCTGTTTGGCCCCATTTCTGGGGCTGGCTAACACTTTAATGCAGTGCAAATTAATTGCAGTATGCTGATTAATGAGAAACCATTAGTACAGATGGACCAGAGTGAAACAAAATCAAGGATGAATTCTTTGCACTGTGGGCACTGCTGGTTCATCACTGTTTGTTTCATTTACTTATAAAACCACAAAACCACAAACGGATAAAAACACTCAGGAAATTTTATAATCAAAGTTTTCTTTGATGGCACAAACACAGCTCAGGAGGGTCCCACATGGTTCAGTCACCCCAGCTGCCCTGTACATGCCAGGCTCTGGAGCACATGAGCCCGCATGCACTGACGTATCCATGCCACAGCCTGGCAGAGGTGCCTGGGGAGGCACGGTGGGGAAATTGGGATTCCTAAGCAGCCAAAGCACAGCGCTCACCACGTCTCTCGGAATTTTCCTCCTCTCAGCTTAGAAAGAACTTGACACTGGCCAGCTAATTCCTCATGTCGGCCTGTCAGAGCTGCAGCACCGCTATAAATTCAAATGTGCAGGTTGCTTGCAAAGCACTTCTGCTGTGGGGAATTGATCTTTTCACTTCCAAAAGCAGCTGTGTGGTATGTCACCCATCTCACACAGCTTTGGCTCAGTCAGGTTTCCAACGGGAGCCAGGGTGGGCACAGGGGAAAAAGCCCCAAATTTCCTTTAGAAATGTTTTTGTTTGTGTTCCTGCTGGTGCTTTAGGACCTGTTTGCGCTGGACCTGGAGCCCTACAGGTACAGCGGGGTGAACATGACGGGCTTTCGGCTGCTCAACATCGAGAACCCGCACGTGTCGGCCGTGGTGGACAAGTGGTCCATGGAGCGGCTGCAGGCGCCGCCCAAGCCCGACTCGGGGCTCCGCGACGGCACCATGACCGTGAGTGAGCTGCCAGGGGCACAGGGACAGCGAGGGAGCTGCCAGGGGCACAGGGGCAGCGAGGGAGCTGCCAGGGGCACAGGGGGCACAGGGACAGTGAGGGAGCTGCCAGGGGGCACAGGGACAGCGAGGGAGCTGCCACACTGCCAGGGGGCACAGGGACAATGCCCCAGCACGGTGCCATTGTTCATCTCACTGCTGCTGAAAACCGAAATGCTGCCCTGCTTCTCCCATCGCCTTCTGCATCGCGCAGTGGGAAAAGCAGCAGAAAATGGGATTTCCCAGGCAGGTGCAGGATTTGTAACCTGCAGGGACAGAGCCCACATGCGTGTGAAGGGAGTAGCATTTTTAAATGGGTGAAGTGCCCTTTCTCTTCATTTCCATCTCTACAGAAGCTATGGCTTTTGAGACATAATTTAAAGATAGATGAGAGGTATCATCAAGCCAGGGAATCAGGATTCCTCCCAGCACTCCCCCAAGGAGGAAAGGAAAGAATAGGAACAATTACAGAGACAACATGACTCCATTCAGTTTGGCAGGGTGAAGGGTTGCCATCTCTTTGCAGTATGAGATAATGCATCTCATGGACTGAGTGGAGCTCAAAGCGATAAGAAATAGCCTTTATTGTAGATGATTGCAGGGAAAATTTGGAAATGTCTTAACATCCTGAGGAGAAATGCAATAAGTGTGCTGTCCCTGGCATTGCACACACTGGTGCTGCTTTGGACAGTGTCACCATGCTCACTCGTACCCAAAGCAGGGAGAAAGCTGTCCCTGGGAATTCCTGATGGGAATCCACACAGAAATCCCCCAAATACAACACTGGGAAAAGCAAATTTCTCACCACTCGTCTGCTCTCCTTGCTGTCCCTGACTCTTGTGCTCTCCTTTGCATCTTCATAACCTCAGTGTCCTTGATGCCCTGGCACAGCACGAGGGAAACCTCTCCCTCCTTGCTGGGATCATTTCAGTATTCCCAGCAGGTTCCATTATTGCCCAGTTTGATGGAGAGCTGCACCACTGCTGCATTTCATTTGACAATAAGGCTGTGACAGGCGGCAGAGTGCACAGAGATCAGGACTGTACATCCTGTTATTAACTCAGGATTTATCCCTTCTGGTTCATGCTCTGCTGTTTGCCCTGAAAGCAGCTTGTGGGAAGGCAGCAGGGCACAAGCAAGACAGTTCTGAGTTCACGTCCTGCTGGATGCCCAAACTGCACCCAGAGGCACAGCTGGTCTAATGAGATCTCTGGCTTTCTTTGCAGTGGCTTAAGCAGCACACAAAAATGAGAAAAACAAGTTCCAGGACTGACTCTGAGTCTCTTTCTCCTGACATAAAAGCACAGAAGTCAGGGTGAGGTGCTTGACTTTGGAAAATGAGGTGATCTGTTGCACCCTACAGCCCTAAACAGAGCCACGGTGAGGGGAGAAGTGACAAGCCAAGGGAGGCGGCAAAGCTCCCCGCTGCCACACCAAGGAGGGACAGTGACAAGTGGCACAAGGACAGGGCTGAGCAGCCAGGCCTGGCAGTGCTGCAGACACCGTGTGCTCAGGGCAAAGCATCAGCACTGCCAGACAGAGCAGGGCGAGGACAGAGGAGCTTTCTCACCAAGCATCTCCTCCCAGGGTCTCTGGCCTGGCACACAGGCAGAGCCAGTAAAATCCAACCCTGAGTGCCCAGTCCAGTGTAAAACTGAGGTCTGCTGACACTGATGGGAATATTTCCATCGGTTTTGAGGGATTTGGGGTCAGCCCTTGATGCCCTGAGTGTGCTTGGAGCAACTGTCTGTTGTGAGACACTCTGCAGTGAGAGCAGCTGGTATTGTCTCCTCCTGCTTGACTCATCACTCACAATGTTTTCTGATCTCACAATTTGCTCCCATTGTGGAACGTTATTTTGGGCAGATCCTGACAAGCACATCAAGACCAATTCCTCCTCTGCACTATCTTAAGATTAGTCCTTAAATTCAGGTACACTTGAGCCAAACTCTCCAATACTGGTAACACTGGTGCTGTTGTTACTTACTCAAGTAAATGGCACAGACAAAGAATCAAATGTATTAATTTCCCAGAGGAATTGCATGGAAAAGAAACAGAAAACTGATCAGCTCTGTAGTTCCTATAAAGGACTCAATTTTCTCATCTGCAGAATTGCTGCCTTTTTTCCTTCAGGCCCTGGCTTAATTATTCATTAGGTTTACCTGGAAGGTAATTTGTGCAGCATCATTAAGGGAGACACAGCCATTCCCACCTCACTGTGAGAGCACTGAAGCCCAGTGCAGATGAGGGTACACTTTTCTGAGGTGACAAAGTGGGACAGAGTGTGTGATGTCACTTTGAGGCCATGTCTTTAAACCCACAAACCCACTCTCAAAAGAAACACAGATGCACAAAGTGCACCCAGTAGTTTTGGTATCTGAATATATGGGGTAATATTCAAGGATCCAAGGGCTGTAGTGGGAAGTTAGATGTGTGAGTCCAGGTTAATCCCCCCAAAACACACTTCCAAAGGACATTTCCCCTTTCTCTAGGACACCATTGCACACATTTGTGCCAAAAAACCCAGATCCTGGAGGGCAGTGGGCCCTTGGAGGCAGCAGATATCTGGGCAGTGGGATGTGTTCCAGGTGATCAGTGGGATTGGCTTCCCTGGAAAGCAGAGCCAGCCTGTCCTGTTGGGAAGGAAGCAATGCCACAAGTGCCATGAGAAAAGTGGCTCATAGACCTGGGACTTCTTAGAACCCCTCTCCAGCCTGCCTGGGACCCCTGTCCCTATAGCTACCCAGCATAGTTTCCCTCCCAGTGCTGAAAACACTCCAAAATGACGTGAAGAACTGGATTGGGCTGCTCCTCAGGGCTCCAAGGCAAGCCCAGGAGAGGTTTTTCCCTGCGAGGAGCCCCGGGCAGGGCTGGCAGCGGTGGGGGCAGGCAGTAACTCAGGGCTGTGTCTGTGCAGACGGAAGCAGCGCTGATGTACGACGCCGTGTACATGGTGGCCGTGGCCTCCCAGCGAGCGGCCCAGATGACCGTCAGCTCCCTGCAGTGCCACCGCCACAAGCCCTGGCGCTTCGGGCCCAGGTTCATGAACCTCATCAAAGAGGCAAGTGCAGAACCCTCGCTGTAAGACCTCCCAGGTTTTTTATTTGGTTAATGTTTGTTGTGGATGTTGATGATGTCTAAAAATGTGAGGTAACTACAACAGCTGTTCTGGAAAAGGAAAGAAAAGTGAGTCTGTAGCTCTGTCCTTGCTTCGCTGTGAAATTCCAATTGTTTTGCAGATTCTTTGATCAGGGATCAATATCCAGAAAACATTGTAGCCAGTGTTTCTAAAGAATGAAATTGCTTCCTGAAGCAATGCTCTATCTTACAAGAACCCATGACTGATCTTGATCCAGAGATGTCCTAAAAGTACATATTTTAGTTGAAATGCCTTCACTCCTTCAAAAGTCCTGGTTTTATTTTGATTTTCAAATGGACACCTTTCCTTTAGGGAAGCATGGAAATGAAAATTGGAAATTATTTGGAGCATCCCACATATGTTTTACCTTTTCCCCACCTCAATCCCTGCATTTGAAGAGTAATTATAATGAAATTTAAAGTTAACAAAAGACTTTGTATTAGTGAATGCTCTTGCAGTGATGCCCTCCTTATTTTGGGGGATGCTGAGTATAAAACTAAGGGTTCCTGAAGCCTAAACTGGAGTACTTTGCCCAAGAGTAGCAGATGTACCCCAGCAGATCAATTCAGAGCCTGAACAGTGACACAGCTCTCATTTATCATGGACAAGCAGCTTCTCTTGCATGGAGTGAGATATGGGGGCTAATTACTGATGGCCTTGCAAATAGAGTCTCTCATGGTCAGTAAAACCCTGGTTTAAATACTCTGAGAGTCTTCTCTTCCTGTGGCTGATGTAGCCAAAAAAAGGTGGCTGTTAAAAGCAAAGGATAAGATTTAATAAGACCATATTGAGTTTCCTGTAAAGCCTAAAACATGAGTTGGAAGCAAATAGCAAATACATTTGGACCTCAGATCATGTTAGGGTCTGGTTTGTTCAACAGGGGAACAAATAGAGGAACTTTATAATTAGGAATCAGTGAATAGGTGTGGAGAAAACAAAGTCAAGGAAGCAGAGTGATAGCTTGTGCCCACACGGGTAGGATTTAATTGCCCTGGTTTTTGAGTTTTTGATGTGGTACTGACATTCTGTGAAGGCATTTTACAGACTGATCTAAAGACAAATATTTGGTACTCCAGTCTAAGTAAACCAGTTTCAGACAAAGAATTTGCCTGCAGTGATTCCTGCAGATGCTGGAGTTAACAAGTGCTTCAATGGCTCCCTGGTGAGTTTTTGCATGTTATTTTGGTGGTGAAAAGAACTGAGGTCACCTCATTTGCTTTGTGGGCCAGCGCTATGAAATGTCTGAGATCAGGGCTCTGCAACAGCCCATTAAGGAGTTTTTAATGAGAAGTAACTCCTTGTCAGAAGCTGTGTCTCTCAGTGACCTGGTGCCATTCACAGCTGAAGGATGTTCTAATCTTTGAGCCCTTCTGGAGGCATTTGCAGGGAGTGCTCCTTACCTGCTCACAGGGAAAAGGAGGTTGTTGTCTGTCTGCAGAGGGGGAACAGGGACAGAAAGGATGATCCCACCTTTTCTGAAGGAAAAATGGGGGTAAACATGAAATATGTTTATAACCAAAGGATCTGACCCAGTTCTGCTCATGTCCCTTCTAAAGCATAAGGCCCCAGTTATGATTGTTTTTCAATTATCATCAAAACCAGTGTGAGCTCCCCTTTTTCAAATCCAGCCACAATGAAAAGAACAACTGTAGAGAGAAGGATAGAGATGCAGACTGGATTCTGAGTGACTGTTAAATGCCCTCAAGCAGAATCACAGAGAAAGATCTCAGAGATGGAAAGGGATCTGAAGAGATTTCAGTTCCTGCTGTGCTTCTGAGGAGATCCGTGCCAAGCACTGTGACCAGGAGGGAGAGCCATGCATCTGCATTCAATACTGGAAGGAGAAGGGACTGGAGGTTTCTCATTACAGTAAAGTAGAAATTTAAATTATGACAGAAGGGAAAGCAATCCATCTGCAGAGGTGTCCATCAATTTGTTGTGCTTCTGACTGGCAGCAGCTCCAAACGCGGGAGCACAAAGAATCTTGTAAGAGACCAGAACATTTCTGTTGTTAATGGTCTTTGATTACTCCCAGAGCCAGCCTGTCAGCGTTTTCCTGGGACTCTAACCCTGCAGAGTGGAACACGTAAGAAGGAGAGAGCAGTACAAGAGCCTGGTGCCAGAAGAGCCAGGCAATGTCCCCTGCTCTCTGAGACAGGGCTGTGAGCAGCACTGAAATCTTTGTGCAATGACTGGGAAAAGATGACAAACCATGGTTTGCTCCAAACCATGAAATAAAATCTCTTCTGCTTCATCTTTTTCACTGCATTTTAGCACTGAGCCAGTGGCAGGGTCTGGGGGTGCTGGCTGGATTTCTTCTCTGGGCTCTGGTGCTACAATATTCAGTTACATCAAATTGAAACAGCTGTTTACTTTGGTAGCGCTTCTCTCACTAGATAATTTAATAGTAACACTTGATTCACTCTCACTAAAACAATCTTTTGTCTTTGTTTCACTTTTCATAAACTTTACTTCTAGTCCATGAAGTGCATTTCTGCTATGAGCCTATTACTGGCTGTACTTTGACCTGAAAACTCTTAATTAGGAGAGCAAACAAAACAACTGCCTGACCTGCATCCCATGGTGCTTTATTAGGAAATAAAGCTCAGCTTCCCGAGAAGACAATGAGGCTGAGGGCAATCTCAATGGGCATTCTTACTCTGAAATCAAATTTCAAGTGGAAAAACACTTATTTATGGAATTATCTATGCCCAGATTGCAAAGTAATTGCAGGACTGCATGCTGGGAATAAATACATATTGAATTGATGAAAATTGATAAAAAATTATCTGCCAGGGTACTGGCACTGTGATATCCAAAATCAAAACAAGCTGTTTGACAAAAAGATTACATATATTTTCTTCTGTCTGTTTTCAGCTCATTAAATGGTTCCTGGGCAGTAGATATGCTTATAAAAAACAAGCAAGAACCATTATAAAGTGACTTTATCTGAATATATGGAGGATGTTTTGATATTTGCTACACAGAACATTTTTTCAGGACATACTTAATATACCCAGGCTTACTCAAACACAATGCACAATTTTCCATATTCACAGACCAATATAATCCCACCCCTCCAGCCGTGGAAAATGCACCTTTCTGCCTCTCACTGCATTTCCATTCCAGTGCTGCTCAGGGAAAGGCCAGGGCTTTTCCTGGACCTCTTCCAAGTAAAGAGGCTGTGGAGCATCATAATTCTCAGTTTATCTCCACAGGCGAGTGCTGAAATTCTCTTTATTCCATCAGTTATGCCAGATTTGGAGCAGGATAATGGCCAAGTCAAACCCCAACTCACTGAATTCCATAATCCTGGGGGATCTCTGGTAATAAGAGGATTAATTGTGAGAGCTGACAAGTTGATGTGTGGCTCATCACACACAATTTCCACTCCAAAGAGAAACAGTATCACTGTCACTTCAATCTGGCAGCTCTCTCTGCAATTCCAATAAAGCAGGGGCTTTCTCTTCCCAAAGGAAAGAAAACCAAAGGAAAATTAAACTGGTCTTAGTCAGTAGCATTTTGGTTATTATTTATTAATTATTCATTAATGTAGTGGTATTGTTATTTATGGCCTTGGGGAGTTTTGTTACATAAGAGAGACCTGAGGTGTTCTGAACATTGCAAGTTTAGGTGCTCCTACGTTTTTGAATTTTTCATTCAAGTGTCAGGTACCATCAAAGCCCTCATCAGAAATTTGGGAATATCTGTTCCTTCACCCCTGTGGTTAATTAGGAATGTACATTAAATCAATAACTGATGTTCATTTTGCCTGGGAACTTCTGATAATAAATAAACAGATTAGAACCCCAAGAATTAAATATATATACCATGGGTCAAAATAACCCCAGGACAAAACAGAGCAGGCAGGAAAATATTCTTATCACCAACTAGATTTCACTCCAGCTTCTGAGTGTACTCCTCCCACAAGGAACAGTCCAGTGAGTGATTTCTGACCAAACTCCCCTTAAAGCCAGGGGAAAAAAAAGATTGCTTGCCTTTAGGGAAAAGTCTCCAAATTTTCAAGTTACACTTAAACAGCAAGAGAAGGGAAAAAGAGAGAGAATAAAGAATGCAGTTCTGTTCTACAAAATAAATAACTGAATCTGGTCTGTCTGGGGAATTTCTCAAGTCAGTTTGGACGCTGCTCCCAGGGATGCACAGGGTGGGATTGTTTGGTGTCTGTGCAGGGCAGGGGCTGGGCTGGGTGATCCTTGGGGGTCCCTTCCCCCTCGGGATATTCCAGGAGGCTCTGATAAGTCTGGAAGCAGCTGAACTGATTGATCCTGGGATTGAGCTGTTGGTTGGCTCTGGCTGGAATGGAGGCTGCTGCATTGATCCAAGATGGTGAAGTGGGAATTGATACAGACCCTGTGATGGGTGGGAATGGATAAAACTCCTCTGGAGCGTTTGACCTTGCAGGCTGAGTCAGCTCTGTTCTCCTGTTGCTGTAATTTCCCATCAATCTATTGACAGGGATTGTAATTGGAGTATTTAACCCCAGAGTTCAGCTTGTGCTTTCCTCACAACCCTCAGCTTTTCTAGCAGTGGAAGCAGGCAGTTCCACAGTGGAAGCAGGCAGTTCCACAGTGGAAGGATGGAGTTCCACAGTGGAAGGATGGAGTTCCACAGTGAAAGGATGCAGTTCCACAGGGGAAGCAGGCAGTTCCACAGGGGAAGCAGGCAGTTCCACAGGGGAAGGATGGAGTTCCACAGTGGAAGCAGGCAGTTCCACAGTGGAAGCAGGCAGTTCCACAGCTCTCACTAGGTTGCTTTGTGTATTTTGGCCGTGGCAGTGCCTGCCAGCCTCTGAAGGGGGCTGAAGTTGTGTCTGTAACCTGTTCTGCCCACTCCCTTCTCGAGGCTTAGTAAGAAAGGGTCTGAGCAGCTGCTCACAGTGATGCTCTTTGATCAATTACCTGATCAGGCTCCAATTCAGCTTTTATTATGTCCTCTAACACTCAATGTGTCACCAGAAACATAAAAATTGCTATAAATCCTGTGTGAAAGCATGAAATCCCATCCCTGTAATACACACAGATGCAGCTCCTGGCTTTTCTGGAAGGAAGGAAGTTCTGCTTCATTACAGTTTGTTAATTAGCAAGAACTCTGCATATGATGCTTTCTCTGTTTTGGTTTAGAAGCAATAAAATAAAATTCAGAAATTAAATTCAGAATTTAGATGGTATCTGAAGCGTGTTCCTCACCATTAGGATTTAAAAATCCCATCAGCATTTAACCTTTCTGAGAAACACTCCCTGAAACTCCTGAGAAACTGATCTCTAAAGAGCAGATTTTATAAAATGTTCCAGCTTTATGAAAAAGAGATGGGGGCACATCAGAGGAATAAAAACACAGACTGGAAAAAGGGATGTTAGAGATTGAAATTCATCCATATGTGTCCATATGCTATCTTGATTATACAATTAATAAATAACCCTGCAAGTGTTTCACTGTTTACAGCACAGACTTGTGTGTACTCCCAAGTCATTAAGATGGAAAATCTCACAGCAAATTTGTTGCACTAATGCTTTTCCATTCTTATGTTACTTAAGTGTGTATCAAAGTCCTGCTGTTTCCACAAATTCCAAATGCACCAGATCTGTCTGAGACATGTGGTGAGAACTCCCCAGCATCCAAGATTAAACCCTGCAGATTCAGGGCTGGAATTCAGATTAAACAGGGAGGGGGGACACCAGTCTGTAAGTGTGGTTTTTAGTGCAGCTTTACTTCTGTCCTCTGTCTCCAATAAATTAAATGAGGCGAGGAACGATGTGTGGTGGAAAAGCTTGTAATTTAAAATTATATGGCTGACACACACGAAGGAACAATGCCATCATTTATCGTCAGCTCTCCTTGTATCTCTGACAAATTTAATCTAATGGGGGGCCTCCCAAAAATAGATTATCAAGACTGCCTGCACTTTTAAATCTATCACTTTGTTTTATGGATAAGGACCAGCTCTGGGGACAAAATGGGGTGGGAGGGAGGGAGGGATGGAGGGAGATCTCATTTCAAGGCAAACAGGCTGGGTGGGAGGCTCACAAGGTACAGGAGACTGAAACTGTAGTGAATTCTTGTGCAGTGCACAACTGCCCTGGCTTTGGGCATGTGCAGCTCTCCCTTTCTCTTTGGTCAGTCTACATTTTTTTACCAGTACCAGACATGTGTAAATCAATCTATGTAAACTGTCACAGACTTGTGCTTGGTTGCAAAATGCAAAACATATCAGAAAGAAACTAAACAACAAAAAAAGGGGGTTTTGTCCGGGTAGCAAAGCCACATACGCTTAAAAGCCCCCAAATTTGGAAGTGGTTCGACGCTGTGGTGTATTTAAATGACAATTATGATTAACAGTTCTTGCTCTGGGTTCCGGGTGGCTGCTGCTGGGTGCCACAGGCAGGGTGTGTTTGTGTCCCCAGGCACGGTGGGAGGGCCTGACCGGGCGCATCACCTTCAACAAAACCGACGGGCTCAGGAAGGACTTTGACCTGGACATCATCAGCCTCAAGGAGGAAGGCACAGAAAAGGTAGGCAGGTCTTTGGTAAAAAACATGGCCAAGAGTTAATTTGACAAGGGCATGGTTCCTGAGTTTGAATCTCCTGTGTCTGGGGTAAAAATACCCCACCATTCCCAAGTGATTTGAGTCAGAGTTAAAGCAGAGCTGCTAAGATTGGGTTCTTATTGTACAGTGCATTTTGAGGTATGGGAGAGGAATGTGGGGCAGACAATACCTATCTAATGGAAAGAATCATCTTAAGTGCACCTCGTTTTCAATTCTTGCCACTGCAACCGTGGATGGTAAATTCATACCTAGAGATAGATAAATTCATATAGCAGTGCACAGAGAAATGTGACATGAGGGAGAGAGGACAGAAGGTACTTGAGTAATAACCTCCACAAAGTGGAGTGCTGAGAATTCTCCAGGTTTGTGAGACTGGATTGTTCTCCTTCCCTTTTGTCAGCCCTCAGGCAGCGATACGGGCTGCCCTGGGGGTGGCAGCCGCGGGTGTCCCAAACCCCAGCACAGGTGGCAGCAGCTCCCGGGGCTGCTGGCCCTTGCTCTGCGCGCTGGCTCAGCTCTGGGTGGTAATTGCTGATGGGTTAATGGAGAATTTAACTGTAATTGCTCCCACACAGCTCTCCAGACAGCTTCTCTTTTCATTTTTAATGAGGCACTCTGTTTGTTTTCCCTGCACCAAGGCTGCTGGCGAGGGTTCTAATCATTTGTATAAAGTGTGGAAGAAGGTTTGTACACAGACAGGTGAAGCCAAAACCCTCTGGGCTGGGTCTTCACACTCAGCCTTTGGGTTTTAATGGTGACTCTTCTATTGCAGTTTAGAGACAACAATCTCTCTGAAAGCAGGAATTTTCCTGGTAGGATAAGTTTTTCTCCACTTGAGACGCTGTAATTGCAAAGACTAAAAATATCTTGGCAGGATTCAGCATTTTCACCAAAATCAGGGGGGTTTAATAATTATTTTACTTCTTGGAGCTGTGCTTTTCCCATCTTTGAGTAAAGGCCCCTACTGCACCAAAACCAGTCCTTTTCTCCTGTGCCATCCTTCCTGATTCACCTACAATTTACAGGGTAAAATTACACTATTTTGGATGTGTATTGGCATCAGCTCAAAGTCTGGTTTAATGTGCAGGGTTGGGGGCGTTTTTCCCCACACAAACCTCTCAGTGCTGGCAGCGTTCAAGCATTATTGCCGCAAAATTTGGATAAGTGTGTTATTAGCTCCTTACAGAAAATAATAGAGATGATTAAGTGGGTGCTGTCATTCACTAACATATGGAAATTGGGACTAAGCTTGTTTATAAAAGATGTAAATTACCCCAGGAATCTCATCCCTCTTTGAACATAAGGTGCTTAAAACACAAAAGTGGGATTTGGAGACCAGCTCCACGCACTGCTCCCCACAGGACTTACAACCCCTGGTTGCTGTTCTATGAGGAGAAGATAAAAACTGCATCCATGAAGTCTGAGGTGTTCTACAGTCATGAGACAGAAACTTTTTATAGTGCTTAGAATTGTATTTTGCCCATGGTTCACACAGATCTCATTATTCCACACCCCTCTCTCATACGCAGTGGAGAAAGGTTTCAGATTTGTGCTGTTTTTGTAAGAGCAGACCAGTGTAAAACACCCTCTACTACCCTTCCTGTGTTCTCATGGAGCACATGCATCCTTAATAACCCAGTTTAATCTCCAGGCTGAGGCACCAAGGCCCTCTCCCCCCCTTCCTGGGGAGTAGATCATCCCCTGACACGCAGAAGCAATCTCCCCTTGGACTGCAGGCATCTCGTGTTCTGCTGAACTGATTTAAACCAAACCACAGTTGGTCAGAGCATGGGCTCACTGGGGAGGGCACATGGCACCACTCACACTTGTCACTAAACTGCAAAACATCCCCTGAACTCCCCCAGTGATGTCCTACCTGGCTCTGGTCCTTCCTCCTCCCTCGTGCCCCTCCAGCAGGGCTGTCCTGCGGCGCTGTCCCTTTCCCCGGACGTGCAGTGCTCTCCTGGTGTGTTCTGTGTGCTCTGTGACTGTGCTGCTCCCTGGTCTCATGGTTGTCCTCCTCTTTCCCTGCTGCCAACAAACATATTCCAAGTCAGTAACAGTGAGCAGAAGGGCTCACACACCCTGGTGCAAATCCAAGGACGCTGGATATTTACTGTATTCCTGGCTCAGGCTGCCATAATTGCCAGCATTTTATCTCCTTTGTAAATCTGTGCACTTTCCAGATCAGCGTCCCAGCCTGATCTAGTTTTGGAAACAAAGGGAATGACTGACAAATGCTTGGAATAAACTTTTTTTTTTTTTTTTTTACTGGTATGGTTGTCCCCATTAAGAATATGGAAAAAATAGTTTGTGAGGGACAAAAGCAGTGGCACCTGGGGACATGAACCCCAGGTTTGCTTGAAATGGTTGTGCTCTCCACAATGCCCAGCATAAATCAAACTGCCTGAGGCAGCTCCTCCCCTGGAGCTCCTCACATCAGCCTTCAGCCAAGCTGGGCATGAAAATCCAAAGGCAAAAACACTGGAGATGCTTCCAGCCTGCATTTAAGTTGGGTAAATATTGATGTGAAGAAATAACACGGTTATAATTTCTGCCCCCACAGCATAAATCCAAATCCACTGAAAGGACAAATATCTTCCCTGGAGGCTTTGGATTGGGCAGTAAATACTGGAAGTTTTCACTGTCTCCAGGGCTGGAAAGGAATTTGTCTTTGGCCACTGATGTTTGCTGAGTAAATACTGCTCGGGGTGTGAAATGTACCACCTTGATAGCTCTGGCACATCCAGGAGTCCAGGAATGACAGAATAATCTTTGCTAAACCTGCTGAAGGCACAGGGCAAGCAAAAGGCCAGTGCATCCATCAGTCAGTTCCATTGTAGCCATTCAGGCTTTTAACATGTTCTATCAGAAGAGAGAGATCTTGCCACATGTCTCAACTCCACCATCGACAAAATTTAAAAAAAAAAAAAAAACAATAAAAATAGACATTTTCCTTTTTTATTTTAGCAGGGAACAAAGCCAGCATGTTCCACTTCATTAGCCAGCTGGCCACCCCAGCACTGCACTGCCAAGCCTCATGCTCTCAGTGCTCCTGGGTTTGCATTTGTGCATTTTGCAGTCATTGCCTGGGGTTTCTGAATCAGCCCATGGTGCTGCTGCGTTTCTCTGAGCTGCTGCCCTCCTGCAGCGCTCAGTCCCTTCCTGAGTGACCCCTGAGCCCGTGCTCTGGGGTTTAGGGATTAGGGCAGCCTCTCACCCGCTCTCCTCTGTGCAGATCGGGGTCTGGAACTCCTACAGTGGCCTTAACATGACGGACAGCAACAAGGACCGGTCCACCAACATCACGGACTCCTTGGCCAACCGCACGCTCATCGTCACCACCATTCTGGTAAGGCTGCCCGAGGTGCAGGCTCAGGATCCACACACACCCGTGAGATTGACTCCAAAACACTTCCAAACACTGGAAGACCCCCAGAACCTCTGCCTCCAAAATTGTTTCCCCTTCTCCAGCGTTTCAGACGAACCCTGCGCACTTTTCCTCCCAGAAGAAGGAGCACACACAAATGCTCAGCTTTGCAGTCACTGCTCATACATCCTTAGTTTTACTGGAAATGAGACAAAGAGGGCTGAAGGGAAGCGGTAAACAGCAGACAGATTGAGCCATTGTGCTTACTGTGAGGAATGCAAAAGGTTTAACGGGGTATTCGGGAGCTGCTCTGCCTTGTGCTCTCTACACACCCAAAAATGCCACTTGTTTTTCAGCTGCTCTGCCTGGTTCCTCAGGGGGAGGGAGAGAACTCAAAGGCTCCTTCTACACTACGTGTCTGTTGCCATAGGTGTTTTGCCACATGAAACTACTTGCCCAGATCTTGTTCTATCCAAAATCCTGTAAAAGGGAAAGCAAAAATGTACTTTGCAATCTGCCTTTGTTGTTCTCCGTTCCCTCTTCGCTCCATTTGAAGATTTTTCTCAGTAAAGACTTATTTTTCACATAATAGAAAATGTTAGCTTCCCCTTATGGGTTTTTTCTGTTATTTAGGATCCTCTCTCCTTCAGTATCCCTTCCTGTCCCTTGGAGTGGGACAATGTGAGATCCAGACCCTGGGTCTGAGTTTGGAGCTGCTGTGCACAACTGGAATTAAAGCTCCTGGGAGCCACAAATGGCCCATTCCACTGAAAATTAGGGCCCTTATGCTCATACCAATTCATTCAGTGAGTTTGTTAACACACCTAGAAGAGCTTTTAATGCACACAGTAAATTGCTGGTTTCCATGTACTTGCAATCCCTTTGGAAAATATTAGCATCATGTAGAGAAAGTGATCTAACCCGAGCCCAGGCTCACATCTCTCACTGCCTGTCTGCTGTGTTTTCCTGCAGGAAGATCCCTATGTGATGTACAAGAAGTCTGACAAGCCCTTGTATGGCAATGACAGGTTCGAGGGGTACTGCCTGGACCTGCTAAAGGAGCTGTCAAACATTTTAGGCTTCATCTATGAGGTCAAACTCGTTTCTGATGGCAAATACGGAGCCCAGAATGACAAGGGAGAGTGGAATGGGATGGTCAAGGAACTCATAGATCATGTAAGACTGAACCCTTCTTCTCTCTGTTCTCCTTTCGCCTGGGGTACTTTATATCTGAAATGTTTGCTGTGGTTTTCACCTCTTAGAGCCACTGCTGTGTCTGTTTTGCCACAAAACAGAGTAGGAATGTCTGATGAGCAGTTTGCAGGTGTTGGGGGGAAATGTCCATCAGTGGCCATGTTCTAAATGTCCCCCTGCCTTGTAAAAAGAGGAAATGGAATGTCACACCTCCCCAAAATACCCTAGAAATGCTAAATTTTGTTCAATTTGAGCCAAAATTGGTTTATTTTTTAATACTCAGGAAGGAAATGGAGGGAATTGCAGTGGGTTTGCTGAACATGAAGGAGATGAGTGTTTTCCCTTTTGTGTTTCCAGAAAGCTGACCTGGCTGTTGCTCCTCTCACCATTACCTATGTCAGAGAGAAAGTGATTGATTTCTCCAAGCCCTTCATGACACTGGGAATCAGCATCTTGTACCGGAAGCCCAACGGGACCAACCCCGGCGTTTTCTCCTTTTTAAACCCTCTCTCTCCAGATATTTGGATGTATGTTCTCCTGGCCTGCCTTGGAGTCAGCTGTGTCCTCTTTGTCATTGCCAGGTAAGGCCAGGACAGAGTTTGGGATGCACCCACAGCCTCTCCTCTCACAGGTGTTGGATGGGCTCTGGAGTACTGTCCTAAGGGGCTTATCCAGTCCTAAAACTTTTCTGCAAAGTCTTGGTATTTTCTCATCAACACTGCTTTTCTGTATTGCACTCAGGTTTTGCTTTCTTTAAGGGCTGTTCCAAGCGAAATATCCCATGGGATGTATCAGGAGGCACCGCCCCAGCAGATATGTGCTGAAAAGCAGTTTGTTACTTGCATGTAGGCATTTCCCTTTTCCCCTCACGGTGCACACAGTTCACAGGTAAAAGACCCAAAAGGTGAACCTAGAGGTCATTTCCTGAAATGGTTCTGAGCATTAGAGGAGGAGAGGTCATGGGTTACCCTCCCAGGGGTGGCCTGAGGTGAAAGAGGAGTTTATCCCTCCCCAGCAGCTGTGGGGCTGTATGCAGTTACTCACCACTTCCCACAGGCTCCTGCAGCGCCTCGCTGCACCATAAATAATAACTGCACTGTACACAACCCATGATCTCAGTCATGACTAATCTTAAATCTGCTCCTCTCTGGCAGATTGACTTTTCTGCACTTGCGTGCCAAGACTGAAAACATCCCCCAGCCCTCTCCACCTCAGAACAGTGGAAGGGCACACAAATGCTTTCTTTGAGCTGATGCCTGAAAGCAGTGCCTAGTTAGATTCAGCTGCATGGACTGAAGAAGTGAAATTGTGCTCATGTTAATTTAAATTTATACATTTTAAGCTAAGCTGCTCTTGAAACCCACATCAAGACCTGTCCATGTCTCCAAATACACCAAGATTTCTGTAAGATTTGCAAAGTGTTTCAGCAAATATTGGTTGCTTTTAGTAACCCCAGAAACCATCCACTTCTTAGCACTGTCACAGTAAATTACATGGCTACCCACATTTTGACATCAGTTCCTGGAAAACAAATACTTGGGAATAATTTGCACAGACTGGTATAATCCTCCTGTCATTTCTTTCAACTTTTCAGCAGCTGAATAATTTCTCATTTGTCTCTGAGCCTTGCGTAGCCCTGTCATTGTTACATTAATTTTTAAACTCAAACACTGAAGTTTTTATTGCTGTGAAGGATTGCAGACTGGCAAAGCTCTGTTCCAAGTACACTGCCAGTGGATGAACAAGGTGTTTTCTGCCAAAATTTCCCTTTCTGCTAATGCCATCTCAGCTGTGTTGTTACATCAGTGAAGGTAGAGCCAAGTAGCTGAGTCAATAATGTCACACAGACCCTGTGGAAAAGGTGCTTGGGTGTCCTTGAGCATGTCACCTTTATCAGAAACCTCAGCACAGCTGCTGCTGAAGAGGGAGAAACCAGGGGGGAAAGGACCAGGAAAGCAGAAGGTCTGAGCAGTGAATTCTGCTGAACTGTAAACCAGAGCTCAGCGCAGCAATAGAAACACAAGAAGAAAATCAGCTTTTGTTTTGAGGTGTAAAAGAGACGTACACCCTACTAACACATTAAATTGTGTACCCAGGACTAGAAAAACCTTCCCAGTCTGGAAGACAAGGCTTTGCTGCCAGAAATTCATGGCTCTTTTGCTCTTTCTGTGATGGAGACATTTGTTTCCAACTCACTGAATGTGGTTTTCTGAAACCCTGCAAAATTCCAGCCTTGGGCTTCCCAGGCAGGTCAGGCAGAGGGATTTATTCTTCTTCCTGCCCTGTGTGAACACTATGGGGGGAACTCTTCACTTCTAGAGCTGTTGGAAACCTACTGTCCTAACTGGGGATCTCTTGTGAAGGATGTGTTTCCCTCTGTGTGCATGCACTGAGTCTGGTCACTCCACAACACCTGCTTCCATTATTACAGCAGAAATCTGAAACATCTAACTTGGGAATTGCTTTGCTTTTGATGGGTGCATGCAGAACTGTTGTAACTTGAACCTGAAAACTTTGTCTTTTGTCATGATTTTTTATACTCTTTTTCTGGGTATTGTGCAGCTGATGGCATCCTAAGCTACATCCTCTCCCAATTAAGGGGTTCATTATTACCAGATTCATTACTTCAGCCAAGCAAGGCACTCCGCTCTCAACCGTGCATAAATTCAATGCTTAATTATATTGTTGCAACAGTAATTAGAATGTGTTGGGTGAGGTTGTCAATTAAAGCTGCATCCACACGTTCCATGGGAAGCCACGCGGCCCTGGGGAGCCCGTGTGGGCACCCTGAGCAGGGGCAGTCCTCGGGGTGCTCCTGCTGGTGTGTGCTTAGCCCAGAGCTCTTCCAGGGATCCCTGTGCAGCTCCCTCCCCGCAGTGCCCATCCCGTGTCCTGTGGCTTGGGGAGCTGCCTCCCAAAGCTGGGGAGAGCAGCGTGCTCCGAATGCCCAGCCTGTGGGGCTGGTCCTGCATGGGCACCTGCTCCAGAGGGGACTCCATGGTCCTGGTGGGTCCCTGGCAGCTCAGAACATCCCGTGATTCTGGGAATGCTGCAGGGAGAGCACGTCCAGCACGCACTGACGAGTGGTGCTGCCCTGACAGGGCTGCTGCTCCTTCCTTATTCCCAAAGTGCACCCCAGGAACATCCCCGTGGCTCCCAGCCGTGCCCTGTGAGTGGGGCAGGGAGCCGTGGGGCTGTGGCAGGGAGGAGGAGAGGAGCAGCAGCCCTGTGCCAGGCCCAGCAGCGTGCCATCCATCGCTCCACAGCTGATGCACAGCTGGCACGGGTCAGTGCTGATGTCTGGGGATGCCCTTTGTGCCAAGTTCTCCTTTGGCACGGGTCAGTGCCAATGTCTGGGGATGCCCTTCATGCCAGGTCCTCCTTTGGCACCCCCTTGTGCCGGGCTGTCCCGTGCCCGTTCCCTGCGTGGTGCCGTGGTGGGCGTGCTGCTCAGCAGGTTTGCTGTGTGTCCTCTGCTCGATGTTTACAGACTGTTTCTGTTGACTGCCACAGGTTTACACCATACGAGTGGTATAACCCCCACCCGTGCAACCCAGACTCAGATGTGGTGGAAAACAATTTTACTTTACTAAATAGTTTCTGGTTTGGAGTTGGAGCTCTCATGCAGCAAGGTACACCGGTTACACTTCGTTCTCGCACACGTCCCACAGTCTGCTCAAGGGCTTCTGTGCTGGTAAACTCCACCCTCTGTAAACGCAGCATGTACTGTAAAACCTGATCTCACACACGCAGAGTAGCACAGGGGAGGGAGGCCAAGTGCCACTGCCACTGGGGAGCTGTGCAGCCCAGGCCAGGAGGAAGGAGGGCGAGCATCTGAGAGAAAGGGGAGCACGCAGGGAGAACAGGAGTTCTGCAGCTGAAATGGAATTTAATTGCAAGAGGGATATGAAGTGCCTCGTGCTGAAGTTGAGTTGATCGGTATTAGAGGTTTGACAACAGAAAAATGTTGGGCTCCATCCCAACACGAACAGCCTTAGCTGCCCTAGAAGAACTGTTCCAGCTGCCAAACAAGGAAAGATGCTCTTTCTCCAGAAGGGTTGTTGAGTTTGTAGGCACTTGTCAAACATGTTGTTTAAAACCAACACCAAACCCTGGTTTTCTATGGCTTTTCTGCAGGTATGAGTCCCATCCTTCTGTAAATGCATCCAACCCTAGAAGCCTTAACTTAACCCAGTCATGAACCCCTGTTACTGACGATTTTGGAAACAGCTGACATTTTATTCAGATGCCAAGGAGGGGCAGTGATGCTTACTCCACGTGGGAAATCAAATAGATCTATGTAGTAAACACATTTGTTTATGGCATTTATGTTCCAAGGTTTCCAATTAAATCACTTTCCACCAAAACCGGGGTCCACTGAATAGAGAGAAAATGTTTTCTGACAAATATTTCAAGTTGAATCAAAGCTGAACAAAAAAGATCCCACCCCACAACAACCAAAAAGGCAAAGCCCAGCAGTACCTTGGTATTAAATTCCTAAACATTTAAGTGAGGAATGTGTCATACAGGTACAGTTTATTCTTTCCTCTTTAACAGACATGACTTAAAATTTAAAAATAAAGAGGATTTTTTCCTAGATGTGGTAGAGAATAAAGTTTGTATTGACCTAAGATGCACTTGCTTTTAGTGGTGCATTATTGTATTGAGAGGATACAGAGCTTCCCCACAGAAGCTGCTTTGAAGGAGGTTGGATGAAAGAAGAACATTTCTGCTTTGTTTTGGAGGTTTTTTGTTTTGTTTTCCTTCCAATTTGTCAGTAAAACACAGGCTGAGGTTTTACAGTATCAGGCAGGTGTGTGTATTTACCTGTGGTTGCCCTGTGTGTGAAAGTGCCCCAGGATTTTGTGTTTCCTGTCCTGCCTTTTTTGGAGTTTACCATCATCCACAGCAAACTGTGGGATGCAGTGTCTGCTCGTTACCACTACCTTGGGTACATGACAGTCAGCCCCAACCAGACTCTGCTTGTCTTTTAAGGAGATTCAAAACAAAAGAAAGAGAGAAAAAGAAAGAAAGGCAAAAGAAAACATTTGTAAGGCAACACAAATGTTTCCATGTGCAAACTTGTGGTGTGATTGTCTGTGCATCATGGTCACGTGAAGAGTTTGGACATGATGGGAGCGGTGGTGGAAGTCTGGGTCTAGCGTTGCACTCCTCCTCCTTGGCAGCAGCTGCTCGTTATGCTTGACTGGAAGCCACTTGTGATTAAATTTTAAAATGTGATGATCAGACTTTCTCTTTTCTACAGAGCGTGAGCAAAGTCTGGATCAGGATTGGCTGTCATGTCTGCCATAAAAAGGCACTAGAGAGACTTCAGCAAGTATTGTCTCTGCCCTCGAGTCTTGCTGGCAACATTTTGATTTAGATGCTGCTTCCCCTGTTTTTCCCTGGAAGTCTCAGATGTGTTTGCATCCTCCGAAAGCATCCAAGCAGGGCACATTTCATCCAGTCCATCCAGGGAAGCTGTCACTGTCAGAAAGGAGAGCTGTCCCTCAGAGCTCAGCTCAGCCAGGAACGGGGCAGGCAGGAGCAGAGAGCGCCCAGGTGGAGCGGGGTGGGGATGGAGCAGATCCTGGGCTGATCCCACAGCCTGGGCAGCAGGAAGGGGGGGTTCTGCCCTGAGCCCAGGTGAGACCCCACCTGCAGAGCTGCCCCAGCCCTGGGGACACAGCAGCAGCACCTGGAGCTGCTGGAGAGAGCCCAGAGGAGGCCCCGGAGCTGCTGCAGGGCTGGAGCCAGGCTGGGAGAGCTGGGGGTGCTCACCTGGAGAGGAGAAGGATCCAGGGAGAGCTCAGAGCCCTGGCAGGGCCTGAAGGGGCTCCAGGAGAGCTGGAGAGGGACTGGAGACAAGGCATGGAGGGACAGGACAAGGGGAATGGACTCAGACTGACAGAGTAGGTTTAGATTTGGTATTAGGAAAGAATTTTTCCCTGTGAGGGGGGTGAGGCCCTGGCACAGGGTTCCCAGAGCAGCTGTGGCTGCCCCTGGATCCCTGTAAGTGTCCAAGGCCAGGCTGGACAGGACTTGGGGCAGCCTGGGACAATGGAAGGTGTCCCTGCCCATGGCAGGGGGTGGCACTGGGTGACCCTCAAGGTCCCTTCCAGCCCAGGCCACTCTATTATTCTAGGATAAACCAGTGCTTTTTGCTGGAACTGAGGCACTCAGAAAGGTGAACACTGGAATAACCATGGGAAAAATGAGATGCTGCCCCACTCAGCTCAGCCAGGAGCAGGGTTTGCTCTCACCTCACCAGAGCAGTCACTCAGGGCAGGATTACCAGCATGGGAACTGAGCGTGTTCTTTCCCACAAACCATGTTTTGCTGCAGGAAATCACAGGAGGTTTGGCTTCTCACCCCACAAGTGCAGCACACAGGGATTTTCCATCCTCTCCTGACCAGTGCTGGCACGTTCCATGTGTGTGGCACAGCATCAGGGGCCAAGTGCAGGAATTCTATTTCTATGGCTGCCTAAGCTTAAAAGCAAGAATTCCTTCAGGATGAGCTGAATGAGCTCAGCTTTTGCAGTTCAACCCCGGCTTAGAAATAGAGAGCAACAAGCAACTATTTCATTGTATTGCAAAAAAAAAAAAAAAAAAAAAAAAAAAAAAATCTAATCAGGAAAGCAAGGAAGTACAGCAAAGCCCAACCACAAACCCAGGCAGAGCTACAGCTCTGGAAACAGCTCCATTTGGCCTGGAAAATTTCAAGTGAGAGTTTTTGCCTTCAGACTGCTCTCGCTGTTTGGCAGTTCTGTCAACACACTCCAACCCTTGGGCTAAGCTTAGCTCTGACCTTTAAGAGACACAGCTCAGTGTTTACAAATAGAGCTCCAATCTGTTTGCTGGTTGGTGGGGAAGGTTTTACCCTTTCGGTCTCTGCCCCAAAAGTCACATTCAGAGTTTTTGCAAAGTCTGAAAATGTTCTCTGCAATGCTGAAATTTCTTGCACAACTCACTGAATAGCTGAGGAGATATAATATGTCAACATGTTTTTCCAGTAATAGAAAAACGTTTGTCAAACCAAAAGCTTTAGCCCTGAGCACTCTGTTCACAGGCTCTTAAGTATTTTCTTAAGTCCATCCCTCATCGGCAAAATAATGATGCAAAAACTGTACTTTGAAGTCAAATTACTCAGGTGGCTACCTAAGAGCTTTGTTGAACCAGATCCTCAAATCCCACATTATGCACAGAATTCAGTGGGAATGGCCCCCCCAGTAAAAGAGCAGAAAATTTGCCTCAGAATGCTTGGAAACACGAGTATCTCTGTGGCTGAAATAGAGGTTATCTGAGCTGCCTGGAAACCATTGCAGTGCAGGCAACACGTGCTGCTCTGTGGGGATTTATGGCAATGGCAAACCTGCTCAAACCTGCTCAGAATAATGAGTGTTAAATACACTGCCCAAACTTTGCATTGCCCTGAGGATCCAAGGGATGTGTCCACGGACCCTCTGGTTTTTCAAATGGGAAGCACACGTTGCTAGTGAGAGGTTTTGTGGGGGCTGAGCTGAGGTTCAGTGGAGGTGACTGGAGCTGCACTGATCTCCCTCTTTGTGCTGAGATGTGTCAGTAGGATGCACGGGGCAGGCTCCTCCTGTCAGGTATTTCTGTCAGGCAGCTGTGAGCAGAAAAGCGTTTGCTAAAGAGCTCTGGTTACAAAATTGATTGCAGTGTACGGGCACAAAGGAACTCCAGAAGCAGACAGAAATACCAGAGTAGCTTGCTGGGGATGTACAAGATTAATATCACAAGGCTGGTTAGCTCAGAGAGGTAAGGGGCTTAGACCCAAGGATAATTCCATTTGTCATGTATCATGGCACACATCCCCTTCCCAGTGTGTTACCATTATAAATGTCAGCTGTGCATCTGTGAGATTATTGTTGAAATCATTTTATCATGCTACAGCTCATAAAAGCATTCTGTGCCTAAAACCAGGCTGTGGTATCAGGAAAGCCTCATTTTAATATTATTGTTTTGGTGGTGTTGTAACAGGATCAGAGCTGATGCCCAAAGCTCTTTCCACCAGAATAGTTGGAGGAATATGGTGGTTTTTCACCTTAATCATAATCTCATCCTATACTGCCAACCTGGCTGCCTTCCTGACCGTGGAGAGGATGGAATCTCCCATCGACTCGGCGGATGACCTGGCCAAGCAAACCAAGATAGAGTACGGGGCTGTCAGGGACGGATCCACCATGACCTTCTTCAAGGTAAGATAGCCCGGGCAGCCGCGGGGCCGGAGCCGCTCCCGGCGCTCCAGCGGGGCCGGGAGGCGGAGCCGCAGCATCCCCAGGGATCGCAGGGGTAGGAAATGCATCACTCACCCAAAACCAGGGCTGCAGCATCCCCAGGGATCGCAGGGGTAGGAAATGCATCACTCACCCAAAACCAGGGCTGCAGCATCCCCAGGGATCGCAGGGGTAGGAAATGCATCACTCACCCAAAACCAGGGCTGCAGCATCCCCAGCGATTAGAGAAGATAAATACACCAGGTACCCACAGCCGGAGCCACAGCATCCCAAAGGATCAGAGAGGTGGGTAAATACATAATTCACCCACAGCCACAGCATCCTGAGGGACTGGAGGAGAAGGTAAATACACCAGGCAGCCCAGCCTCAGTGAACCCTTCAGCACCAGGAATGTAAAACCTGGCAGGTTTCCCCCAGGACATGTGGAAAAGCAGCCTGGCAGTGAAGTGCAGTAAGGGATAAACCCATCTGCCTCTGATGGGAGCCAGGACATGGACATGGGGGTATTCTCCTCCAGCTGGGATGCTATTTCCTCCAAACCACTTCACTAAAAAGCAGCTGGAACAGTCTGCTTCCCCTTCTGAAAGCCACATTTGCACCCATGGTAATTCCACAGGAAAATGCAAGTTTGTTTGCCTTTTTTTTAATGCTCCATGGTCATATTACCCAGACTATCAATACAGGGGCCACAGCACACTTGAACACATCTGCAAGTGAAGAGTTTTCTGCAGCTAACTGTTTGGTAGACAACTGGGATAATTATGTCTTTTTCCTTTTTCTTAATTAATAGTATTAATTACATACAAAATGGATAATTTCATAAAATGTCAGTGCAAAAGCCAACAAGCTATAAATACAGAATACGTGCACAAAAATCCTGTGACAGTCAGAATTGCTTAGCAGCTCCCTCAGCAGTGTGAGCAGGGAAGCCAGGCTGGGGATGAGCCTGGATCAGGCTTTTCCCTGTGCATCTGAGGATGGTGTTCATGGAGTCACACACACAGGGCCTCGGGACAGGAGGAGACTCTGGGGGCAGAACAACATCTGTGACAAGAGATCTCTCCCTCTCTGGGGACATCCCAAAAATCCAAAAATCCAAAGTTCCTGTGCCTCCAGGTGACCCTGCCTTGGCAGGGGGGTTGGACTGGGTGATCTCCAGAGAGAGATCCAACCTTCCAACCCCAACCATCCCGGGATTCTGGGATTCTGCGTAGTCTGTCCCTGTTGGTGCTGCCAAGGGTGAGCTGTCCCTGCCAAGGCTCTCCTGTGGCTGAACAGAGATGTTTCCTTGCTGAAAGAAAAACACCAACTACAGCATTTTGCTTTAGTGAGCTCCTGAAATGATGAGCTGACATTTCCACTGAGATGGAAACCTTCCTGGAGATATTCCAGTGAGGCAAGCTCTGGATTCTCCTCTGGCTATTTCATGCCCAAAGAAGCTCACTGCCATTGATATTCTGAAGTCAAATTTAGCTTCAAAGACAAAACTTCAAATCCTGTTGCATCCCTGCATTTTTAGAGGAAATAGGTCCTGGAGCTCTACATGAGAAGCTCAGAACAAATTTCCTAGAGCTGTTTTTAGTTTTACACTGATTTCTTTTTGCACCATTAATCCTGCAGGCAGAAATATGTAGGCTTAAAAGCATGTGAGCTTCTAAAAGGAAACCTTCAGACAAGGTGGTTAAATATTTATGCACTACATGTGCTAGCTTACTTGTGCCTGAAATGCATGTGCACAGGGGATGGACAGTACAGAAACTGGGGATGGATTCCCTGGCAGAGGGATGGTGACACTGTGAAAATGCATGAAAAATCACACTTGTAAACACCGTGGGGTTTTTTATTATGGAAGCATCTCCAGATCCTCACAAGATTAGGAGTTCTTTGTCCTGCCCAAAACTTGAAACAAAAAGTCCTGGAGTAGCTCTCTGTATAAGACCAGCTACTCCTGTCTGCAGAGGAAGGCTCTGACTTTACCTTGCTCAGACGGTGAAATGCTGTATTTGTTTAGCTCCTTGAGCCAAACAAACACACACAGCCCAGGGAAGGGCCTGGGAACTGGGAGGGCAGCAGGAGGGAATTCAGGCAGCAGGAGGGAATTCAGGCAGCAGTTACTCCACTCCCGCGCTCCTCCCAGGGTACAGCGCAGTTACAGCACCTCTGCCGCGACATTCCAGCTCCGCCTCTTTCCTGGGAGCTGTCCAGTCCCCGGGAGTGCTGAAGTGCTGGGAACAGGGAGAGGGAAAGGAGGGATCACTGCGGCAGCAGCAAAAACACCCTGAGGAGCGAGGCACAGGGCTGGGTGCCTGGGAAGGGTCATTGCCTCGAGTGCTTTCTCTGCTGCAAGATGGGATTTGTCACATCAAATAGTACTAAGGCCCAGGAATGCCAAGGGGAACAGATTGTTTTCAGACCAACATTTTTCAAAGCAAACCACGACGTGCTGGGCATTCCTTGCTGTGGAGGGGACAGGAACAAGGGAGTGACATGTAGGACACGAGGGGCAAAGCCCAGATCCCTCTGGTTTCCAGGACCGTATGGGACACACATGATAAAAAACGTTTCTGGAGACATCAGGCACAGGAAAACACCAAGCAGACTCTAAAGAGCTTTGATTTAGGACTTTGTGCTCAAAGTAGCAGCAGGAAGGCCCTGGAAGATGAGATTAACAGGAAGATGAGTGTAACTGCTGGATGGGATGGAGGTCAGGAAGCGTATTAGAAAAGCAAGGTACTGCCACTGCTTTTCCAAAGCTCCATTTGCATTTATCCAAGCTGACATCACTTGCAGTTAGTGGTGTCTACAAGGCCGTGCTAACAGCTGTGATTGCCCACTGGTTTGGAATGCCTAGCACCAGTGTCCCTGCTGCTATAGTTTTCCCAGAAAAAAAAATATTCTGAAGATGAAATATTTTTCAAAGAAATCACTTTTCTGCAGTGACTTTTAGCCAGACAGTGGGGAGAATGAAAACAAAAGCAATTGGAATTACTTGTGGGGGGGAATGGAGTTCTGACCTTGAAAGGAACCTCAGATGTGTAGAGATGCCAGATATGGCCAGAGCAGATGAAAATACCCCAAAACCAGGGCCTAGGCAGCCCAGGACAGTGAAGCCTTGTAGGAGGGCAAGCCAGCAGCACCCCAGGCAGCACTGCCCATCTGTGGGAATGGCCAAATCTGGGAGAAGTCCAGCTGAAGGCAAGATGTTTCCCATCCACAAGCAGTGACACACATTTATTTCTCCAGACTGCTGTCCTGCTCTGTTTCCAGCATGCCCATAAATCTTCCACTGCTTTCTTGCCCCTCCATCATAACAGGTCCTGTGTTGCAGTTTGTGCCAGCTCCTGCCTTCTAAAGTGCAGATGTGTTTCTACTTAAATTAATGAAAATTCAAGGCCCAAAATTTGGCACAGGATCCATCCTGAGGGAAAAAAATGGGAGCTGGCAAGTTGAGAAGCCAAGATCTTTCTTACAAACTCTTCTGAATAAAGAATACATTCTTCCACTAAATTCACTGTCAGACTCAGTCTAGTGCATAAACATAGCATCAATTTCAAAAATATTCCCAACTGAGCTATAAAAATGGTAACTACTTGTGGAGAGCCACTTAACCACCTTCAGAGTTTAGTGGTATCCTGTGGCTCACCAAACTGAGGTGGAATGCAGGTGACATTCACAGATACTGAATTTATAGATAAGGCATATTAACATTTAAAGCTCAAAGAACCAGAAAATCAACATGTCACAGGAATCCCTCTGAAGCTGGTGTTTAAAACTGAGCCTGGAATCAGCTGAGATGGCTCTAAACCAGAGATGGGACTTGAGGGACTGAGGAGATGCTGCCCTTAACCCCTGTGGCAAAAGGATCATGTCCTCAAGTCTGACTGCAATGGGAAGCACGAAGCAGGAGTTTATTTGGACTGTTTCTCAAACTTTATCCCTGAAGCACGTGACTTCAGGCAAGTGATATGAACACAACAGGGGCAGAGGAATGCTTTGTTCATCACCAGGCTCTTGGAGCAGTGGGTGTGCCCTGACAGGTGGGAGTGGAGTGTCCCAGGACAGCAGTGTCCCAGGGCACCAGTGCCCAGCTGCACTGGGCCAGCTGCCTCCGTGCTGCAATCCATGGAGCAGCATGGGCCCAGAAAATTCCAGAGCACTTCACAGCCAGGCCAGTAACTACATTCCTGGTACTGCAAAGAAAGTGGGAAACAACAAGAGATTCCTCAGCACAAAGCCCAGTAAGAGGGGAGTGCTGCTGGAAGGAAACCCTGCCACCAATTCCCTGTCACTCCAGATGTGGTACCGCCATTGAGGCTGGCGAGGCTCAGGAACATGTGGCAAGGGCAGTTCGGGGGCTGGAGTGACTCTGTGCCTCCTCTTCCCTCGCAGAAATCCAAAATCTCGACGTACGAGAAGATGTGGGCGTTCATGAGCAGCAGGCAGCAGACGGCGCTGGTGAAGAACAACGACGAGGGCATCCAGCGCGTGCTCACCACCGACTACGCCCTGCTCATGGAGTCCACCAGCATCGAGTACGTCACCCAGAGGAACTGCAACCTCACCCAGATCGGGGGGCTCATCGACTCCAAGGGCTACGGCGTGGGCACCCCCATTGGTAAGAGGCTGAGGAGCACAGCACAGTGTCCTCTGAGGCAAACCATTCACTCCTAGGATCTCAGAAACAGGACAAGGGAGAATGGATTCACACTGACAAAACCACGGCTAGACGGGATATTGGGAAGGAATTCTTTCCTGTGAGGGTGCTGAGACCCTGGCACAGGGTGCCTAGATTATCTGTGGCTGTCCCATCCCTAGCAGTGTCCAAGGCCAGGTTGGATGGGGCTTGGAGCAATCTGGAACAGTGGAAGGTGTCCCTGCCCACCTGGCAGGAAGGGCTTTAATGTCCCTTCCCACCCAAACCATTCTGGGATTCTGTATGTGCCCCAAAGAAAACCGCTTACTCAAAACCCTGCATCTCCCTGATGCAAAACCTTGCAGTTGGTCCTCACTGTTCTTCAGTGTTGTTCTGAGGCAACGAAATAAATCAGAAATTGATCCCCTTTAATGCAGAGCTTTAAGACTCCCAATCACTCTGAAGTCTCTGGCAGACCTTTTCTAGCATGTCCAGTACCCTTTCTAAGATCTTCTAATTGTAGAGCATTAAAAATTTGCATTGGGCACAGGCTGGACTCGGGCTCTCAGTTCTTTTCCACCCTCAATGATTCTGGGATTCTGTGATGTGTCAGGGCAGGTTTAACTACAGGATCAGTGGCAGGCTAATGCAGCTAATTCTAACACTAAAGCTCTTCCCAGTTCCTTGGGAGACTGCTAAGAAAGCAGATAAATGTATTTCTTGGCCTAAGAGGTTTGTTTATAGCTCAGAGGCCATAAGTAATGTGCTGAATATTTAAAGAGGTGTGGAGATGGATTTGTGGGTGGTGGTAGAGCTCACCAATAAACCACCACCAGTGCAGCTCTCCAGGCACCCTTGACAAACTCTAAAAGCCAATGCAGAAATCTGGAGATGCCTGTTACCCTCCAGATGAATTGTGATAATCCTGATGGCAACATAAACACCACAAGAAAGAAAGAACAACCCCACAAATCCTGTGCTGTGACTCTGGCTCCTCCACTTTACCTCCCAGCTGTGTCCTTCCAGACAGGGGAAATGGATGAGTCCTGCAGCCTTACACATTGCAGGGGACAAAGCACAAACAATTCTGCTCTCTCTTCTGTGAGGCACTGCTGTTTTCAGGGGTAATAATTCACTCCCCTGTGCAAAGCCAGTTTTTGGAGGTGTTTCTGGCCTGTTTTCTGTGCTGTTATTTTTGGGTCTTTAACAGCAAGCACACAAATCATCCATTCTTACAGCAGGCACATTTTCCTCTCAGAGCTGGCTGCCTCCAGCAGTGCTGGTTTCTGTCTTCCCAGATGGATTTGGGACAGTCTGACACATGTCTCCTGGCAGCTGTGGTCACAGCATGGCCCAGTGCTGGCAGTGCTCTGCCCCAGCAGCAGCTGAGTGGTGGCACAACAAATGAGGAGCTGCAATGTTCCTCACGCTGTTCTCCTCAGACAGGGCTGGGGGATGCAGGAAATGAAGAGCAGCAAGGGGGACGTGGATCCACGGGACAAGTGTCTTAACAATGTCCTGCACAGCAAAATAAGGAGCAAAACTGAAGCTGTGAGGCCGAATTTCCAAGGCTATTTTGGTGCATAAGAACTGAGAAGCAGTGCCTCAGTGAGATTTTTCTGAAGTGCCACGTGATCCCTGCAGTTCTGGCACACATTCTGCCTTAAAGCTTGGTTTGCCTTGATGGAGTTCAGTTTGCAACACTTTTAATGTGCAGCAAAATGAGAATTTGGTGAAATAACAGTTGAAGAAAATCTGAGAATCACAGAATGGCCTGGATTGGGAGGGACTGGATTGAAGCCCAGCCAGTGCCACCCCTGCCATGGGCAGGGACAACGTCCACTAGCCCAGGTGGCTCCAAGCCCCATCCAACCTGGCTGTGGACACTGCCAGGGATCCAGGGGCAGCCACATCTGCTCTGGGCACCCTGTGCCAGGGCCTGCCCACCCTCACAGTGAAAAACTTCTTTCTAATATCCCACCTAATCTTGCCCTCTGGCAGTGGGAAACCATTCCCCAGTATCTTGTCCTTCCGTGTCTTATTAATGTGCTGCTAAAGGAAGGGAAAGAAATAGCTGCAGGGCTTTCAGCTCTACATTTCAGTCCAGACTCCTAATGTTTCCAGCTGTAGGGAGTCCAGCACAGCCGGATTTGGGAGCACACATGTGCCTTTGGAGCCAAACAGCATCTCACAGAATCACAGAACCATTCTTGCAAGCTCCTCCTCCTTGCTATCACAAAATCCTGGTCCCATAAAGTCTCTCTCACAAGCACAGGCTGCAGGATTTTGGAGGATGGAGAGGCTGGGCAGAGTGTGTGAGAGCAAATCTAAGTAGAATGAGCCACCCAGTGTGACCCCACTCCTTGCCAGACACTGCCCAGGCCCATAAAGCTGCAGAGCCTGCACACACATCATTTAGCAAATAGTGGTCTGCAAACCAAAAGCATGAAATTGTTGCTATTTGCAGCCGGCAGGGCCACTATTGCTACAAATCACAATAAAAAGGACTTGTCCACACAGTGTTCTTACAAGCTGTAGGTAGCTGAGGTGGAGCTGTGGGTGTAAATGAGAAGACAAAGTGTCTGAGTGACTGTGGGCTCCTCTGAGGCAGCCCTCATTTACAGGCAGCAGGGAAAACCAACAGATGCTGAAGTCAATAGAAGGGATGCAAAGCGGAAATTCTCAACGAGTGCTCACGGCAATATTCAAATATGATGTGGAGGAATGCCTTAGCAAGAAAACCCACTACCAAGGCTTAAATAAACCTCACTAGGAGACCCTACAATTATCATGAATTCTCAAATAACTGCAGCAGGGGAGCCTTCTGCTTCCCAGTCCCCAGGGCAGACACCAACAGAGATTCCCCTTCCCACCTCCAGCCTTTCCAGCTGGAATAATCCCCTCTGTGACAAAGGCTTCTGCCTCAGATGGTGGCAGCTGCTCCCTGCAGCACTGCCAGGCCTCGCTGTCCCCTTGCAGGGTCCCCATACAGGGACAAGATCACTATCGCCATCCTGCAGCTGCAGGAGGAGGGCAAGCTGCACATGATGAAGGAGAAGTGGTGGCGAGGCAACGGCTGCCCCGAGGAGGACAGCAAGGAAGCCAGCGCCCTGGGCGTGGAGAACATCGGGGGCATCTTCATCGTGCTGGCGGCGGGGCTGGTGCTCTCCGTGTTCGTGGCCATCGGAGAGTTCATCTACAAGTCGCGCAAGAACAGCGACATCGAGCAGGTGAGCGACCCCGCCCGGCCTCAGCTCTGCAGCACACGCCTCGAGATGTGACGGAGTTTACATTTCCTGCTGCTGAGCTCGCACCAGGCAGTCCTGGCTCTAATGACAAATAATTTATTAATAACGACAGGGAAGTGCCTCACCCACGGTCCAATTAGTGCTGCTTAGCAGGGCAGTGCAGAACAAGGGCAATTAATTTCTCAGTTTCTGCTTGAACTTCAGGATTTCCAGCATAAATTACATTGGAAAGGAATAAAACACAACTGGGCTGTTGGGTTTTTTATATGGCATTATCACAAGCCGCTTGAGTAACGCAGGAAAGCACATCCAAATCCCAAGAGTCATTTTCCTCTTGCTCTAGAAAGCATCTTTTTTCAGAGCCAGGGGTTTACAAGTGCTGAAGGATGCACTTCAAAGCAGGGAGATCTGCTGAGAGGTGATGGATGCCACTGTAAAGTAAGATTGTGGAGCCAAAGAAGTTCTGGTAATAGCTCCACTGCAGTGTAATGAGCAATTTAAAAGGGCAGAGCAAAACAAAGGAAATGCTGTGTGTAAATCACACCTTGAGCATGAGAGCATTTTGTGAGTAGGGATCGATCCTTAAAACTGAGTGTAAACACCCTTTTAGAGAGCCACCAGCCCTGTGAAAGAGGCATGGCTGAGCAGGAACTTGCAGAGTTCCTAAGCTGTCAGCCAGCCCCTCCTGCCCCGGGGCAGTTTGTCCTGGCTCTGTCCTGGACCCTCTGTTTGGCTCCTCTTCTCTCCAGCAGGGCTTTCCCAAGGAACAGGGGGACCTCACCCTGCAGGACCCTGAATCCCCAAAGGTTCCCGTTTCCTCACTCCAGGCTCCCAGGCACGCACCTCGAAGCGGGTTAAGCTCTCTTTGCACTTTGAGGGGGGAAAGGAGCTTTTCCATGGGGGATTCCCCCTCCCCATCCAAAGTGTTATCCTAGAAGGGTGGTGACATATATGCCAGGAGTGGCTGTTGAGGCACAGACCCGCCCCCAGGGCAGCAGGAACGAGCGGGAGGAGAAAGGAACATTTTGAACCCTATCTGGGAGGTGCAGTTTGCATCAAAAGCTGTGTCACTGTCTGCAAAAACAGATGCAGCTCAGGGAGCAACCCCAGGATATGCCAATCAAAGGGTCCCTGGTTTGGGATAAGGCAGCGATAAAGGATTAATGTATTTGCACATATTGCAGCTTTCCAATTAGTACTTTAGCCCGTTTTAGCACAAAATGCATAAAAAATGTATTGGTATCTTTGTTTTGTTCCTGTCTCGGGAGATCGTTTATTCAAATATGTTTTGGAGAACAGTTGCAGCTAATTAAAATATTTAGTATAATTAAAATGTTTAGTTTAAGTGCTGACATGGTGCAGAATATCCTGGAAACTTTGCAGGAGTCTGTGCAAGGCAATGCCTCCCTGAAGCCAGGACTAAAGTAGACTTTAGTCTGCTTAGCTTTAGTCTTAGCTTTAGGCCAGGGGTTTTAATTTACTGAGCAATAAGTGGGGTGAATAACAGAATTTGGGGTTGCACTCACGTGTGCACAACCCCATTTCTGCACCTGCACTGCTGCTGCTCAGTACGGTGTTGCTTAATAATTAGAATCATCAAGTGAGCTAATGTGGCACATCCTGCCTTTTTTCCAGAAGCAATTTCACCGGAGCACAATACCAGCGATTCCAGTGTTTCTGTCTGGTTTCTCTGGCATTGTTTTCTCTTTTCCCTGGTGAGATAAACAGCTTAGATGGGAAACGCTGTGCAGGGTGTGTTATCACTAAGCTAATCCGAACCATTGTTGAATACAATCTGTGACTTTTCTGTTGCCATTAGTGGAGTCTCTTTTAATTTAAATGGCTTTTGAATCATTCTCATGCTTGTTTTCAGTTTTGCTTTGTTCATTTATTTACTTTCTCCATTTCTCTTCTTTTGCATGCAAGGCCTTTTGTTTCTTTTACGGACTGCAGTGTAAGCAACCCCACCCGTCCAACTCCACCTCTGGCACCACCTTATCCACGGAGTTAGACTGTGGCAAATTAATCCGGGAGGAGCGAGGGATCCGAGCACAGCCCTCGATCCACACGGTGTAGTCAGGAGAGGACCAAGGTGTGTCCGGGAGAGCATCACGCCCAGCAGGGCTCAGCCCTGCCAAGGGTTAACACGGGGGTGAGCTGATCTAGAGTCAATTGCCAAAGCCCTAAACCAGGGCAGTTTCAATGTGTGTCACAGGAAATAATTACACCCCCAGCAGGGAGCTCAGCTGAGCTGGTAGCCTTTCAGAATTACCACAGCCTGTCATGTGCAATTGTCACCTTGTCATTTCCTGGGGTAATTCACCTGCTTCAGGTAAGAAAAATGATTTACCTCCTTTTCATCTCCTCCCCAACCCGAGCTGAACAGTGGCAGCCTCGTTACTGAAAGCAGGGAGGAACATCCAGCTTGGTCTCTGCTGCAAGTGGGCCAGGCAGCTCTGAATTCAGGAACCTCTCAAACACCCTGCAGGGCTCCATTAACTTCCTGAACCCCTGTCACAAGCTGCCAGAGATGGTGAGCTGGCATCTCTTACTCCCTGTGTCAATATTTAATGAATTTTAATTCCTCCATTTAAAATGCATTACTCAAAGCCTGCAAGTAACTATCATAGCACAAAATCAGACCCATCAGTTAAATTTTATGCCATGTAACCATTAAGGGCATGTTCAACAGGAGCACCCTCAGGCAACGACCACGCAGACCATTAATAGAGCAACTCCATTGTCTTGTTTAGCAATTCGTGAGGTTCATTGGTAACAGAGAAACTCCTTCGTGGGAAAGTCGGGCATCGCTTTATCCCAGACAGCAAAGCCCTGGCATTGCTTTGCATATTGCACCCTGGTGGCATGTTTTGTGTGGGAGGCTGGCACTGGATGTGTTTTACACCCTGGGAGGACAACACTTGGATTTCCTCCAGCCCTCAGCCAGTCAGGGACTGACAGCCAGGGCAGGGGACAGTGGACTGGATGTGGTTTTGCCACCAAAAAACATATGTCAACAGTTTGAGATGCGCAAAGTGCACAGAAATGCCAGCTCCAGGGATGTCATGAGCTGTGGCAAGCCTCAGTGTTCCCAAACCTTTTTACCTGTATTCCATTGTATCCCAGATTCCTACCAGTCTCACCAGCTCATCTCCCTCCCCTCAGCCCTATTTTATGCGTTCCTGCCCAGTGGAGCTCCTGCTCATCAGACAAGTTACTGCTCTGTTTTCCTGGGGCCATTTCTGCCCCCTGCTGCAGTCAGGAGCCTTGCTGGAAGGGATTCCTTCACACCCAACGTGCTCCCCCTTGAATGGTTCCTGTGTACCTGGCTCCTGGGGACACGCAGGGCAAGCAGTGCCCCGTGATCTCCTCTCACCCCCGTGCCAGGGCTGATGCTGCTGGCAGCAGGCTGGAATGCTTTGTGACAAAGCTGTGCTGCTCGCAGCTCGGCTGCTCCAGTTCTCCCGTGCCCATCCGGGGGTGGGAGTTCATGCTGCACTCCAGATGCTGCAAGAAATTGTCTTGCTCAGAATGGTCTCTTAACTTGTTTGAATGGGGCCTGGAAAGCTTTGGCTCTACATAAAATGCTCCTTCTCGCCAGCAAAGACCTGAATTAGGTCCTCTGAACACCTGATTTAAGAAAACACTTTTTATTTGCAGCTTCCCAGTAGAAGAGACTTAAAACTAATTAAATTCAGCTCCTCTCAACTCTCAGAGGAGAAGGAAGATGCCTAATGTGTTTATCTCCATCACTGCTCCACGCAAGAAATCCTCTGGGTTGCAGCTTGGACCAGTTTTGTAATTGCTCCTTAGATTAGTGCCGGATGCAGAGCGTTTCTGTCACTTGCTGGGTAAACATTGTCCCAGCTGTCAGTCCCACAGCCCCGCTGGCAGTGACAGCAGCGTTCCCGGGGTTTAGCTGTCCCACAGACAGCCCCACAGGCTGGCAGCAATTCCCTGGGGGAACGCCAAAGCAGCTCCTGCTATCCCTGGCAGAGCCTCATCCCTAGTTACAAAAACAGTTATCAAAAACCATCACTGGTGCTCAGGTGATGTGGGAGAGCAGCAAGCAGCTTTTCTGATTTTTCTTGTGAACAGAGCACAAAGGAACAGTTTCTGTAAGTGGGGAAGAGTTAAATTAATCCCTGGGTTACTGTCACACTGTTTTGACAGTCACTGCTCAATAGACTCTGGTGGGTTAAAGGAGTTAATTTGGGGATCTCCTCCTGCCATCAGAATATGCCTCTCCTCATGCCATCTGTGTGACAGAATACTCACACAGATCCTCAGTGCTCCCCAGCAGCAGTTTGCTCACTAAAAGAAAGTATTCCGGATGTTTTTCCTTCTGTGCAAAAAATTAATCCATTTTCTTTCAGCACAAGGCACAGGTCAGTGTCCCAGCTAATGCCTTGTCCTCAGTGGTAGCCCAGCAGCAGAAGCAACAGATTGATAAATCCTGACTACAATTCTTCTCTTTTTTTTTTTTTTTTTTTTTTTTCTCATTGTTTCTACTTTATGGTATTTGTTTATTTGTTTGTTTTGTAATTCTGAGTCTGTAATTCTCCTAAAGCTTAGCACAGACCTCTGCATGGGAGTGTAAGGAAGGATTTGGGAGCTTCATGGCTATGCTTCAACAGCTGCTGAAATGACCAAAGGGCACCAAGAAAGAGTCCCACATCACACAGAGAGCAGAACCTAGTCTGTTTTTAAAGGATGACATTTCCTTTTACATGCCATGGCCAGCAGCATTTTGACACTGCCAGAATGAGAAAGTTAAGTTGGCTGAAAGCAAAATGTTAAATTCATCATGAAGTTGTAAAAGGGATTGATCTGTGCCCACTCTGCTCTTGTTCTGGGCAGACCTCAGCAGTGGACTGACCAGCATGGGGAAAAAAACGGGGTTTTGAAGCAACCCTTTCAGTCTGGCCACCTGAATGTGAGACAAAAGAACAGTATATTTCCCTTTTTAATCAAATTTCAATGTCAATATCCCCTTTTTGAAGGCTGCTTTGCAGGTGCTGCTCAGAGGACTTGGGCTTGGGGTGTGTTCCTTGTCCATGGCTTTCCTATAAACCCCACACCATTCTGCTGAGGCTGTGCTCGCTCTGCACCACTTTTCCTAAGAATAACCTGCAGTCTTCCTGATAATAATTATTTTAAAATTCAAAGCAGTTGGAAGTGGAGCCATTGGGCACTGCACAGATCAGATATTAAAAACCTCCCAGCAATATGTTCTGTGTATCTGTCTGCAGATGCAAAATGAACTTCACGGGGGTGTTTTGTGCAGATGAATGTGAAAGGCATTGTGGTTATTGCACAGTCTGAGTAATGGGAATCCTGTTGGAAAATTAAAGTACCAGCCTATTAACAAGGCAGTAAAATACACTCTTCCACCTGCAGAAATCATCCCTGTCTGCACTCTGCAGAGAGCAACGGCTGGGATTAAATACAACACATTAGGAGGCTAGTGAGAAACACAGGGAAGGAAAACAAAAGTAAGACTGATCAATCCTACAGAGGCTTAATAGGACCCCAGTTACCACGGAGTTCTGGATTCACTTTGTAATCCCGATTTTAAAAACTCAGTCAAAGCTGAGACCACAGAGAGCAGTAATCCACCCAGAGCCTTTGGGTTCATTAGTCTGGGGATGAGCGGTGCTGCTCCTCAGAAAAGCTTGGCGCATACAGAAAGGGTCGGGAGGATACCTGCTCCTGCTCCAGGGGGAAGGAGCGCCGGGATGCCGGGCTCCCATCAGCAAAGGGAGGGTATTTAAATGACAATTGCAGCAGCAGAGGCCTGCCCAGCACGGCTGCCATTTGAAAGGACAGCATGCGCTGCCCTGGCTGCGCCCATTGTCTGGGCAGCGGCACCAATTAACAGGAGTTTAATTGACCTCGGAATCGCAGATGAACAAAAATGAAGCACCTCAGAGAAGGAGAATGTCGGGCTATGAGTCTGGCACGGTCTGGGATCTCAGCTGTGTGCAGCCCAGCCCACAGGACGAGGTGGCACACACAGGACCCAAAATTCCCACCCGCACTGAGCACAGGGGCTCGCTGCAGAACCAGTCACACACTTTATTCAGCTTGGGGAAGGAAAGGGGCTTAAAGCTTTGTTTTCCCCTGCTGCCATCACTTGATTTTATATATAAATAATCTATTCATGTATATTTGCACGGAACAATTGTTGTGGGGTTTTTTTGCAAAGCCAAATACTTCCACTTAAAGGCTAGTTGTGTTCCTTTGTGTTACACATAATTATTCCAGCTGTGGATTTTAAAATATGTTTCCACTTACCCCAAATGTCTGTTGTGATGGTGGGAAGAACGAAGATCTCTTCTTTCTTTCCAAGCCATTTATCTCCCTTATTCTTGTGGTAATTATCTCCTTTCTTCTCCGCACAATATTTGAAAAGATTCCTTCCAAAGAAAAGAAGAAGATTGAGGCCTGCGCTATATTTGAGAAACGTCCGCTCATTTCATGAGGGAAAAATAACTAAACCACAAAGAAATCTTAAAAAAACTCTTTGTCTCCTCCAGCATGCTCATGGTTCTTTTGTGAGTAAAGTATATGGTGTTTAAAATGAGATCTGTTCTTTTTGTAAGGTCAGGGACAACTGAGAAAGGGTAAGTTTTGTGATGCGAGGCCACCAAAACATGGCGAAGGCGCCTGTGGGGAATTTCAGAAACACGCATAAACATCTTTAGTTGGGCCAAAGTTAAATGAAAGTCAATGGAAGATGAGTTAGGGAAAAACCCCTGCAGTGTGCAGTCACCTGTTGTGTCCAGGGAGTTATTCCAGCTGGATCTTCTGAGGCCGAGCTTCGGCCTCACCTGAGGGCTCCGTGAGGGCCCAAGTTGAGCTTCGGCCTCACCTGAGGGCTCCGTGAGGGCCCGGGCTGAGCTTTGCCCTCACCTGAGGGCTCCGTGAGGGCCCAAGTTGAGCTTTGCCCTCACCTGAGGGCTCCGTGAGGGTCCGGGCTGAGCTTTGCCCTCACCTGAGGGCTCCGTGAGGGCCCGGTCCGAGCTTCGGCCGGGCTCTCCTGTGGGAAGCATTTAATGCCATCCCCTCTCCCCACAGTGTCTGTCTTTCAACGCCATCATGGAGGAGCTGGGAATTTCCCTCAAGCACCAGAAGAAGCTGAAGAAGAGGTCGAGGACGAAGGGGAAATCGTCCTTCCCGAGCATCCTGACCTGCCAGCAGCGGCGCACGCTCAGGAAGGAGACCATGGCGTGAGCGGGCAGGGGCAGCAGGACAGAGCCGGCCCGCCTGGGGGACGCAAATTCCCTCTCCTCAGAGGCTCCCTGTGGTTTCTTTTTTTAATCTAGAGGTACAGCAGCTGAAATGCTCGCCTAGACTGATGTACTACCGATCCTCCGGGAGGTGTCTGGCTCTTCCTCTGGGCTGGATTTCTCTGCTCACCTGATCTGCATCTCTGTCCCCTCCCCGTGCATCGCTGTATGTGCTTTCTAAATAAATAAATAAACAACTGACAGGGTTCTTTTTTCCAAGAATCTGGGAGTGAAACTTTTCTTTTCCTTGACTGCAGTGACCTTCTCCCTGTATGCCAACAAGTCCCATTTCCCTGCCTTTTTCCCTGCACAGCAGCAGGGAAGTCTGGTTGGAGATTAGAAAAGCCAAAGTCCTCTTTGGGATGGTAGGACAAGGCGGAATGAACTTCCCACTGCCAGAGGGCAGGGATGGATGGGATATTGGGAAGGAATTCCTCCCTGTGAGGGTGGGGAGGCCCTGGCAGAGTCCCTGGAAATGTCCGGGGCATGGAGCTGCCTTCTCTTCTTCCTTCCAAGAAAGCAGCATCTTCTGAGAAGGCAACACCTTAAATGTCCAGAGGAAGGAAAGTGGGCTGCCTAACAAGCAGACAGGCAGAAATACTGCTACCAAGGTTCTCCTAAAGCACAAGCCCTGTGCAGGTCAGCGGGTTCGTGCTCTCCTAATTGCCAGAGCAGTCATTTTTAACGCGCTACCCGCTCCAAGTGAAAAGGGAGGCTTGGCCCCCGAAGGAGTGATGTGTTTAGTTAATGTCTCTAATCACAAGGGCTCCTCACAGCCTGCCCCTCTGCAACAACAGCAGAATTCAGGGGCGCTGCCGCTTCGGAAGCACAAGGACCGGGTTCAGACCTGTTTGGCACAGGCTCCTCTTGTCACGGGATGTCACCACAGCTTTCTGTCAGACACACTTGTTTCCTGCTTCCCTTTCAGAATGAGCAGAAAATTACTTCTCTTTAAAAAATTCAGCCCCGGGTTCGTGATTGATTAAATAATCTTTCCCTGCTGATTAAATCACTCTGAGCATCCCTAGGGGATGCTCTGAGGCTCAAGGAAATCTTTTCCAGCGTGCTGTCACTGTCCCCACTTTTCCCAAATTATCACCTCCCTGTCTCCAGACAGAAATGCCATCCCAGCCAGAGACTGAGCCCTGCAGGGGGATCTTTGCTCTCCTCCAGACCCCAAAGTTATCTCCTCATTTCACTGCATGCCTGGAGCTCAAGAGCTGCAATGCAACCCTTTCAGCAGGCCCAAAGGTATAAAGCAAAGTATAAAGTTTATCTGACTGTGGAATTAAAGACAGCGAACTTGCCCAGCTATGGATGGCTAAATTCCCTTTTCCAGTTTCTGCTCTTACCATGCAAAGTGCCCACACCTCCAGGCCCCTGGCCGGGGCTGCGCTGTGCACACAAAGCTGGTATTTCAAGGGTCAAGGCTTGCTCAGGTAGGAAGAAAAATTAACTGGGAGACCATCCCTGCCAGCAGCACTTGGTGACAGCTGGCATTATCAAAATAAAATTGCTTTAAATAAATTCCCAAGCAGCATGACCTATTTGCCACTTCATTATCTACAGGCTAAACTCAGTAAATACACGGCCTTTTGTTCTGTGCTCCTTCTATTGGTTTTAATGAGACCCAGTGCTAAGGAAGAGGCATTCAGCAGGAGGGCTGCAGTAATTATTATTTGGCCTTCAGCTTTATCTCTGCACATTTCTGCAATAATTCCAATCAGAGTTTTGTCCAGCCCAATTCAGCCAAGGCAAGTGCAGGAAGTGACCTAAAGTGCTACCTGCATTTAGCTGAGGTGAACAATTCCCCGAAGTTTCCAGGAGAATCTGCATCCCATTTGCAATTGATTAAATATTATTTGGCAGGCTATTTGGGCAGTGAATTGCTGACATTTTGAAAAGAGCTATTTGATGATCTAACACAGACTTAAAACGTGGCCTTTGATTTATGTAAAATGCATAGAAAGTGGGTAAAATGAGGGGCTGAACTTCCTGCATCCATCTTGGCTGATTTTTTTCTGCTTTCCTCACCTCCCAAGTTCTCTGTGGAGAGATCTGGGGAGATTTTTCAGGTACAAGTTTGAGCATCATCCATTCTGCAGAGCTATTTCAAAATGTTAATAAATGGTGATGCTGATCCAGAGCCAAAGCAGCAGCAAGACATACCAGTCTTAATATTAATAGATGATCAATGTTTATTCAACTCAGGCAGTGTAGGGGTTTGCTTTAATAAATGGCTGCACTTCTGTGTTTGTTTAGGAAATCCAACAGCACCTTGGGAGTTAAGGGTTGTAAAGGGGATTTCCCTATCAAATGACCTTCTAGTGCTATTGGAAATAGCACAATAATTTTATATATATATATATATATATATATATATATACATATATATACACACACACACACATACAGGACCTCTTTTGCTCTTTCTAGACATATTCCAATGTCCTACACAGGGAAGCCCGAAAATTGAACTGGAAGGAGTCCTGAGAGGTCCCTGAGTTCCCCCACACAAAAACAGAGATGTAGATATCCCTGTAAGGGTTTTTCTTAGGATATTGAGGTGATAAAGAACTTGTAACTATTTTTTGTTGCTGTTGCTCAGGTCAATAGCAGATGAAGCGAAGAAATAGGGTCTTGGTCAGAAATCTAATTCCATAAACTAAGGCAAGCCCCTGGGAACAGAGGAGACAAGTTATCCTCAGTCTGCAACGTGTGGACACAACTGTCTCTGCTGTCCAAATTAGTAATTTCAGATTTAATTTTGATTGCAAAGCATATCCCAGCTTCACGGTCCTTAAACTGCTGCAGGCCAAACTTTGGGGGTTACAAGCCAAAAAGAGAGGCTGCTGCTTGAGCTGGCTTTGAAAAAGGTGCTCTTCACAACCAATAAAAATAAATGTGCCCACAGGCACAATAGCTTGTACAGATTCTCTACTGTTGTAAATCACAAGTGCACTTTTCCTCTCCAGGTTCAAAACATGCAGATTGCCAGCAAGTAACCATAACAAACAAACAAGGATTCAAAAAAAACCACACCAAAAGGAAAAAAAAAAAACAAAACAAAAGCAAAAAACGAGAATGCTATTGTAAAAAGCACAATTTGAACTGCACATTCCCTTTAAATTAATAATGAAAATATTTTAAAATCATCAGAAAAGGAGATTCTAAAAGAATTTTTCTTCCTTACAGATGCAGTAGTGGTTAAAAGGACCTGAGTATTCCCAGCTAAAAGACTTCCCACCAGAGCATATTCCCGACATTTATCAGGCCATAAACAAACACCCACTGAAGAGCAGCACGCTATCCTTAATTAAACAACAGTTGGATGGGGGAGGGAGCGGGAGAAGGAAATAATAGTAATTAGTTTAACCGGGGAAACATGAACAGCCTTTGAATGCAGCCACAAATGCCAGCAGTGCCTCAGGAGCACAACCTCTGAACCTAATGCTCCAGGCACCCGAGCACTGGGCAGGACCGGGCACGGGGCACTTGCTGGATCAGCCCCCTGTTGTTGGTGGCACCACACAGAATTGCTGTACCTGTGATTTTAACAGAGGATAAAATGAATTTATCATCATCAGACAATCATGGAATGGTTCGGCTTGGAAGGGATCCTGGAAGGGATCACCCAGTGCCAGGGCAGGGACACCTTCCACTGTGCCAGGCTGCTCCAGCCCAGCCTGGCCTTGGGCACTGCCAGGGATCCAGGGGCAGCCACAGCCGCTCTGGGAAATCAGCATAGTTTTCTTTTTTCTCACAAAAAATAAAATATTCTTTAGGTTTTGCTCCTGCCAGCGTATCTGGCCCCCAGTTTGCCCAGGAAAGAGCAATATTCAATAAGCAGGACTTTGAATTGATGCTGGTGTTTTTTGGTCTCTGGCACTTAAAGGACTGTAACAATAAAGTAGAGAGCAGGAGCAGCGTGGTGGGAGCTGTTCAAAAGGCAGATATGGGTTGGGCCTGCTACACTGTGGAGAATCAGCTCAGGGCTGGAGCTGCTGGGCAACCATTCCAGTAATTCCAGAGGATGGGAAGCTTCACTCTAATATGGCTTCTAAGAGTAAAAATACACTGGTAATAACTACACTCAGTAGCCATTAATAATGACCACACTAAATAACTGTTAATAATTACTACACTAATAACCACTAATAGTGACTGCACTGGTAAAAGAGGATAATAAAATTCAATAAAGAACAAAAGTTTCAATTTTCCTTTAAAAAGAACTCCCCATAATTTAACATATAAATTTGATGTTCTGGATAAGACATTCTGCACAGGGATCTGGGAAAGTTAAAAAGCCGGTTCAAAAAGCTTGGAATTGTGTGTTTAACTCTTATAAAAAGTTCTAAGGCTTGAGATGCAAATTTGGAAATGGCTCACTTGGCACAGTGTCTTACAAGGGAGAGTAACTTCAAGTGAAAGCTTTAATTAGCTCAGCATTTAGCAACGTTATTAAGTTATCTTTTGTGGAAAAAGCCCTGGAAAGCACAATCTTAATGTAGCTGAGAGATGCCAATTCCATAAATAAAAAATGGGAAGGACAGGATTTATTATCCTGAAAAGCAGGGGAGCATTTACTCTAATGCATTACAGCAGGAGCTTTAAATAACAACTGTGGCAGTTTGCAGGATGTGTTTTCAGAGCAGTTCTTTGCTTCAGCAGATCCCTGGATAGAACCTGGATAGAACTGGCTCCAGAGAGGTGTGAACACCAGTTCTGGACTTTCAGGGCTCATTTTCAGGTACATGGAGGTGAATAACCACAGTGGCCTCATCCCACTCCGGTGTCCCCCTTTTCCCCAGGTCTTTGGGATCCACCCAGCCAGAGATGAGAAGGAAGGGGAATGTATTTATTTTTTGGGATGTGTTTATTCCTTGGGCTGTGTTCATTCCTTCAGCCCATGATGTGGGTGCCTAAGGGCATTTTCTAGGGTCTGACACACTTGGTGACAGTGCACCGAGCAGGGCAGCACAAAGGAGGCTCGCCGTGGGCCCCAGGCTGTCTGGGGCAGGGCTGGAATTCCAGGAAAGTCCCCGGGATCCAGGTGGGATGAACTCTGCAGACAAGACAATAGCTGGGTTTATGGGAGCACAGAGATGCAGCGGGGAATAAATCACATTGTTGAGGGAAGGACACCAAATCAGGGTAGGGAAGCTTTGCACTAATCCTGTGTTGTAATGACAGCTTAGA